ATTACCAGCAGACTCTTTACCATCTGAGCCCCCAGGGAAGTACATAGTAAGTAAAAAGTAAAAGTCAACATAGGGTTGGAAACTACTTTTTGTAACACCTGTATGGCTAATGAAGAGCAAATTATAATAGGATATTATATTAGAGTGATATGCTCTCTACTGTATAACAATTTTTCTGGTTTGAACTCTAAAGAATATGGTGTGGATTTTTTTTTTAAAAAGAGTTGAACATTTGTTTAGAAATTTTGAAAAGAGATTTGGGTAATCCCTCAAGGGATTCTTACTTTTCTTCATAACTTAGGAAAAGGAGATACAATGTGATCTGACTGTTGCCTGCTTTAATCATAAAATATGATTATAATTTAATCATTAAATATGATTACCTGAACCAGGCTCTTCTAGCTTATTGCTTATCATTCACTGATTGATGGCCCTCCTTGTTTCATAACAGATGGCCTGCCTCTTCATCCATGTCCAGTCAGTGGAAAGAAAGTTAAAAATGAAAGAATTTAGTTACATGGCCAGCCTTAACTGAAAAAAAAAAAAAAGGTTATAAAATATTTATTCCAGAAGGCCATGTATCTAGCTAAGAAGCAGGAATGCTATTACCATACAAGAATGGGAGAATATGTTTGAGGAGCTAATAGTCACTTGTAATATACTCAGAGTCTACTTAATGAAGAGACTTAGTTATAAAATAAACTTTTATCTAAAGCTTTCACTTAGTGAAAGGAATTTATTGAACAGTATTTACTCTTGTGCCTTGAATTTTCTGCAGTTTTACCCTTCAAGATGACAGAGTATACTGCCCATTTGGAAAGGAGTCCACTATTTCTGTTTCCACTGGATGGACTGTAAGCTTTGAGAGCATTAGACTCAGTATGCTTGATGATGGATTTTCAAGTGCTCAGTCTGGGTTGTGGCAGCAAAGTTGTGATTTTCTCAACTGGAGAACTTCAAGTAATTGGGAGTTGAAGCAAGAGAGGAAGAACTGGACTGAAACGTGTGAAAATATTTTCCTAATTGCATGCATACTGCTAGTGTGTGGTCAAAGGCCAGAACGAGTCCTATGGTGATCATCAATATAGCAGCTGTGGTACATTTACTTCCATTAATAATCTGAGTTGTCATATATACCGACTTTTATATATTATTTTACCAATTGTCTGTTCTCCCACCTAGATGACAAGTTCTTGAAGTCAGAGACTCTGTATTTTAACTTGATTTTTGTACCTAAATACACTACTTAGGTCACTCAACTAGAGCCAGACATCTTGAAGTGCAAAGTAAAGTAGGCCTTAGGAAACATCAATATGAAAAGCTAGTGGAGGTGATGGAATTCCAGCTGAGCTATTTCAAATCCTAAAAGATGATGCTGTTAAAGTGCAGCACTCAATATGCCAGCACATTTGGAAAACTCAGCAGTGGCCACAGGACTGGAAAGGGTCAGTTTTCATTCCAATCCCAAAGAAAGGCAATGCCAAAGAATGTTCAAACTACCACATGTTTGCACTCATCTCACATGGTAGCAAAGTAATGCTCAAAATTCTCCAAGCTAGTCTTCAACAGTACATGAACAGAGAACTTCCAGATGTTCAAGCTGGATTTAGAAAATGTAGAGGAACCAGAGATCAAATGGCCAATATCCGTTGGATTATAGTAAAAGCAAGAGAATTCTAGAAGAACATCTACTTCTGCTTTATTGACTACATTAAAACCTTGACTGTGTGGATCACAACAAACTGTGGAAAATTCTTCAAGAGATGGGAATACCAGATCACCTTATCTGCCACCCGAGAAATCTGTATGCGGGTCAAGAAGCAATAGTTAGAACCAGAAATGGAGCAACAAACTGGTTCCAAATTGGGAAAGGATTGTGTCAAGGCTGTATATGGTCACCCTGCTTATTTAACTTATATGCAGAGTACATCATGCAAAATGCCAGACTGGATGAAACACAAACTGAAATAAAGATTGCTAGGAGAAATATCAATAACCTCAGATATGCAGATGACATCACCCTTATGGCAGAAAATGAAGAGGAACTAAAGAGCCTCTTGATGAAAGTGAAGGAGGAAAGTGAAAAAGCTTAAAACTCAACATTCAAAAAACTAAGATCATGGCTTATGGTCCTATCACTTCATGGCAAATGGTTGGGGAAACAATGGAAACAGTGACAGACTTTATTTTCTTGGACTCAAAAATCACTGCAGATGGTGACTGCAGCCATGAAATTATGATGCTTGCTCCTTGGAAGAAAATTATGACCAACCTAGACAGCATATTAAAAAGAAGAGACATGACCGGCAAAGGCCTGTTTAGTCAAAGCTATGGTTTTTCCACTAGTTATGTATGGAGGTGAGATTTGGACCATAAGAAAGCTGAGTGCCAAAGAATTGATGCTTTTGAACTGTGGTGTTGGAGAAGATTCTTAAGAGTCCCTTGGACTGCAAGGAGATCAATCCTAAAGGAAATTATTCCTGAATATTTATTGGAAGGGCTGATGTTGAAGCTGAAGCTCCAATACTTAGGGCATTTGATGTGAAGAACTGACTCATTGAAAAAGACCCTGATGCTGGGAAAGATTGAAGGCAGGAAGAGAAGGGAATGGCAGAAGATGAGATGGTTGGATGGCATCACTGACTCGATGAACATGAGTTTAAGCAAGCTCTAGGAGTTGGTGATGGACAGGAAGCCTGGCATGCTTGAGTCCATGGGGTGCAAAGAGTCAGACATGACTTAGCAACTGAACTGAACTGAATGCTACTTGGAAGGGCTTCCAAGGTAGAGCTAATGATAAAACACCCATCTGCCAATGTAGGAGACATAAGAGACATGGGTAAGATCCCTGGGTAGGGAAGATCCCCTGGAGGCAGGCATGGCAACCCACTCCAGTATTCTTGCCTGGAGAATCCCAAGGGCAGAGAAACCTGGCAGGCTACAATCCATAGGATTGCACAGAGTACGACATGACTTAGCATGTATGAATGCACACTACTTGGAAATGTGAACAGACTGGTTTGATGGTATATATGAGACAGTCTATGCTATAAGAATTTTAGCACAAAAAGAAAATGAGATGCTATTTTCCATATTTTCAGGTAAAGTCTGAATGAATAAGCTTTAATTTACAGCTCATCTTAAACAGTTCTTATTATACAAATTGCCAAGCTAATTTACCAAAGAAAAAGAACCAAAGCTTACATAGTTAACAAGTAGTATTTACTATTTTCTTTAATATCTAAAAAGTACAATATTGTAAGATTTCCTAAAAATAATTCTTTACATAGTTTTTAGAAGGTTAGTGGCAAACATGATTTATAATTAAAAGACATAATTTTCCAACTAAAATCAGTTCATAGTCTTTATGGATTTTACAGAAGCAAGTTAAGATTCAGTTTAAGTATATGAAGCAGTTTCCACAATAAAGCTTTTCCAAGAAATAGAAAACTGAGACGCTTAAACAAAGCACCATCTGTTACCATGTCACCAAATTAACACTGACTCCTCCCTGGCCCCCATCACATGATGGAGAATGGGAGGAGAGAAGGAGAACACTTATAATAAGAAACAGAACCCTGAAATTACATTTGCTTAGGGAATCCCCCAAAGGCATCTTGGTCAGGTTAATACATTTCTGAGGAGCAGAAATAGATTATAATAGTTAAGGCTCAATCAAGATCATGCACTCATAATAAAATACAATTACTGATATTTTAAGTAATATTGAATGCCATACAACATATTTAAAACTTGTCATTAAGTCAACAGTATATATATTTTCTTTTTGAATCCTTTAGCACTTTGTAGGCATAAAGAAGTCAGTCTTAAGACAATGGAGTAAATACCAGAATCCCAAACTATAGAGATGCCTGTGACTAAATTTTATTACATGAAAACAACTATTTGTGCCTATCTTTAAAATTAATTTTACTAGTGAAAATTAATGCTTAGGATTTTAAAGTTTTTCAAACAGAAAGTATTTTACAGAGTATTATGTATGTGATGAAATAAAAACAAGACAAAAAATTTGGAAAAATAAATGAGAAATGGAAAATTAACTTGCATACACTAATGTTATAAAACACTACCACTAACAAACTCATATTTTGATCTCCTAGTTCAGAGGTCCACATGGTTTTAGTGATTTCTTTTTTTCTTAAAGTTATTAAAAAAAAAAAGTGAAGTGCCATGAAAAGTAAAGTGACTACTATTTTCCAAGGAGAAATGAGATAAATTTGAAAATGTAGGCCATAAATTTAGTTCCCTTTATGTTCTAGGAACCCGTGCTCTTAAAAGAGCTGGTCCTTAACTGAAACTGGCCAAAGAGATAAGACACTGGGAACTCAAGAGCAAAGAAATAACTAACTCCCAGATCAAATGTAAAATAAAACCAAAACAATCAGAAACAAAATCTGGGCTCTAATCAATCTTTTTCAAAAATGGTTGGATCTGCAGCCAAAGAATCTCTCTGGTTGATCTCAAAGGCACTTCTAAAAACTGCATTTTCCCTTCCCCTGACTGGTATCTGTCTAGGCTAGTTTATGATTCAATGGCCTGTAGCACTGTATTATTTTTCAAAACACCATCCCACTTTAAGAAAGTACTTGTTTATTTGTAGTTAAGTCTTATTAGTGGTGACTTGAATCCCATCAAGTTAAAGTAAACATAAAACATATAAGGAAGTTCCTTTTCCTATTAATTTCTGCCATTACCTCCTTCTTCATCTAGAAGTACACACCATATAAGCCATATAGAGAAAGGAAGTATTGGAATATTAAACAATAATTTTAACCTAATTTAACTCTGCAGTAATATTAAGGGGTTGTCTTGGTTAGATTGAATATTTAGGGGTAAATGTAAGTTGGACATGGGATCTTGTGACCACAAGCTAATCTTTCATGGGTTATAAACAGTTGATTATTAAGTGAAATCTTTACTTTCTTAAACTTTTAATATTTGGGGGACATGTAAAAAAGGTGAAAAGGAAGTAAGAGGGATTATACCTGGCTTTGAATTATTGACACTCCCTCAGCTTTATCAATATAGGAATCTTCTTTGATAGCTTGAACTTCCCTGTCACCACCTATCATATGAGTATCTGAAGTATTTTTGTCACTTTGCCTCAAACGGTAACTTTTATAAGCACGCTGAATGATGGTTGCTGAGACTACCTCTTGTTTTCGTTTCAGAGTAGTTGTAATTGGCTCATATGTGATCTTAAAAGTGTTGGTTAATGTAAATCCTGATTCCATCTCTGAAAGAACTTTCTCCATGCTCAGATCTTTACCCATAACTCTCTTTGTTAAAGCAAGTAAGACGTCAAGGCAATGAATTCTGTCTCCAACAGCCATGGGAAGATCCATGGCAACAAGCTGGCCCTTGTTTGGTTTTGCCATGAAAAGAGGAGGATCAAGAGCAGCTGCAAAGTCTGAAAGCTTGCTAGAGTCTATGTACTGGGTTCTATCAGGATCGAACCTCTTCCATACCTGAAAGAATTTCCTAAAATCTTCCTCACTCAATGTCTTGGCTTGTTTTTTAGAAGCAATATTTAAAAACTCCATGACAACAACAATGTACATGTTTACAATGATCAGCCTAGATAAGATGATGTAACTGACAAAATAAATAATCCCAAGAAAGGGATTGCCACAGTCTCCTCTAACCTGAGTCCCAGGGTTAATTTTATCAGGATCACAGTCAGACCATTTACTACTGAAAATTGCGTTGAGCATCCCATCCCAACCAGCAAATATTGTAACTTGGAAAAGACAGAGCATACTGCTGCCAAAGGTTTCAAAGTTGGACATGTCATCAATTCCAGCTTCCTTTTTAACATAGGCAAAATTATACATTCCGAAGATGGCATAGATAAACATGATCAGGAAGATGAGAAGACTGATGTTCAACAAGGCAGGGAGGGACAGCATCAAAGGAAGCAGCAGATTATGGAACAGCTTTAGTCCTTTCTCAGGATGCAGAATGTAGATGATCCGCGAGAGAAGTATCAGTTGCACAAGGGAAGGAGATACAAGGTAATATCCTACCATCAGAGGCAGAAATAGTCCTTGGTGTAGGAAAAAATAAAGCAGGCAATACAATTACTTAGAGGAATAGAAATTATTTTACATTTGTTTTTTTCTATATGTTCAGATAATTAATCCTTCCCCTATAACATTTGGCACACATTGAAAGTTTGGCTTAGCCAAATACTAATAGTTGCAATGTTCAGCGTCTAACAAATTTGGATGAGAATTATTTCTACCATTATTTCCAGGGTATTAGGGATCAGACACTTCTGGAGTCACAGATGGATGTATCCATAATGTAGGACAGTAGTCATATTTTTTTTCTGATTGCAGTTAGATCCAGCAATTTAGTTCAAACCAACTTTTACTGGATACCTAATAAATGTACCATGAAAATATGCAAAGGTAAATGACATGACTCCTATCCTCAAAGACCATATGATATAGACAGTAGAGGTAGACATTTAAACTAATTATCATGCAAAGCAGAAAGACCTAGTTGATAAATATAATTGAAAAAATACTTTGCATTCAGATTCATAGGTTATAATTTGGTTTATTGACTTCATATTTACCATATGGACCCTTAGGAATTTTAAATGTGAATAAACAAGTCTTGGTCTAGAAGTTTTCTTTCTCACTGTGGTGAGAAGAGAACTATGAGAGTGAGATATATAACTATAAAACAAGGTGAAATTATAATTACCATAAAAAAAAACATAAGGAATGCTCTCTGGAAGTACTGGAGACAGTGTGGTTCATTTTGAGTTGAAAAGAAGGAGAAGGGGAAAATTCTATGAAGCTTCTAAATGAGATGGTATATTTGCTGAATCTGGAAGGATCGTGTCTCACATTTCTGTTAATTTGGTTACTGGCAATGATGGCATTCTCTCTGATGTTATATCTTACATATATCCCCCTCTCCACAGTGCTTTAGTGAACCTTCTACTCTGACTCAAATTTTCATTTCTCCTCAATCTTCCAAACTCTTACATTATGCAGGAGGTTTCCCCCTTTAATTGTAAACACATCTTTACTCCCTGTTCACTAAGATTTTAGATAAGAAAGGAAGTGAAGAAAACTGTCTCTATCTTGAAGATACTACTTCCGCTCAAGCACAGACAGCTCATTCTTTCCCACTCAACATTTCTCAGTGTAGAAAGATGGAACAAGCAAGCATCTTTCCTTCTTTCCAGTGTGATTTCCAGATACTTCTCTTTCACATTAATTTTATAAAGAAAAAAATTTTGACAGTGTGTGGATCATGCCATTCAACTATAACATCTACCATTCCTTAGCTCTACGATCTGTTAATTCCCCCTCATTCATATTCATTGCAGACTTTAGTACACAGCTCACTATTGTCCATTCTATCCCAGCGCCTTCCAGCAACAGTCCATTGAAAGGCTAGTCTTTCAGCCTTTGGCTTTGTTAACTTTAATACTATCATTTTACTTTAGTTATTCCTATCTATCAGCATGTTCTGAACCCAGGATATCTGACCTTCTGAGATATTTCCTCTCCTTCTAGACGTCTGATTCAATTACTCTCATTTCAACCTACAGGGCTCCTTACTTTCATTTTCTTCCATTTTCCTTCTTTCAGCTCTCTCCTGATTTCATGTGCTTTTCTAGGAAGCTTCTTGCAATTGTCTATCAGTGTTGATTGCACTGCCTCTACTACCAGCTGAACGAGTTAATTTTCTGGAGGTAAAACTGGGCAGAAAGTTTATCCACATTTTCACTACTGACTGCCTAGAATAGTACTTGACAGTAACAGAGATATTGTCCATACTCTTATGGAGATAACATTCTAGTATGTGTCTTATGGGAGGCAGACAGTAAACCTTTTCTGCCTAGAACACTTTTATCCTAGATTCTTGGCTAGCTCCTTAACCAGTGGGTCTCCATTTAGTTTCTTGCCTCTTCTGTGAAGCTTTCTCTGACCTCTACTTACTGATTATGTGCTTCTCACTTTGTTGTGGTGCCAGGGCGCCCTGTGCTTCTTATCTTACCAATATCTTAATAGCACATTAACATGTACTATTTAATTATCTGTATCCTTTGATAGATTATAAACTATGTATATATAGGAATTATGCCTACCTCATTCACTACTGAATTCTTTGTATATAGCATAATGTCTATTCAGAAAGAGGATAATCAAATATATTTGTTAAATAAAGGACTGAGATCTCCAGAGTAAGAGAAAACTTGTGACCAATTCATAAAAGCCTAAAACTCTAGTGTTGTGAAACTAGTAAACAATTTTATAGATTAGAGGAAAGAAAACAATGAGTTTGAAAGGTGCTATCACACTAAAACATAAAGGTCCTCCTAGTGTCATCTTAAATAAATAATGTATGTAATATACTGAAGGGATAATTAAGCATTTATCTGGTGGTCTGTGTAATGAAGTCTATGTATTAATTCAGAAAGTATTTTTTCAGTATGTTATATATCTGTCAGGCATGTGTACATGTGTAAATGTAAACATGTAAGGCATTCCCTGGTGACTCAGATGGTAAAGAATCTGTCCGTAATGTGAGAGACCCGAGTTTGATCCCTGGGTGAGGAAGATCCCTTGGAGAAAGGAATGGCTACCCACTCCAGTATTCCTTCGGGAAGTTGGGGCTTTCCTGGTGTCTCAGATGGACTGTTTTCAAGGCATTCCTGCTGGAAATAGAAAGAGTACCCCCCCGCCCACCGTTGTGTTTATTAAAGAGACTATACCTCAGAAGATGATTACTATAAGAGCTTGACTGAATTAATATTATTACAAATGAAAATCTGACTAAACAAAATCTTACCTGTAATAGAGAAAACAACCACCATGAAGTCAAAAATGTTCCATCCACTGGTGAAATAGTTACAATGGAAAACGATGAGCTTTAGTATACATTCTCCAATATATAGCATAACATAAACTGAGTTAATCCAAAACAGAGCAGTGTCGATTTGGGGGCTCTGTTCATCACTTTGTATCATAACGGTTATTGCTTGGAAACATATAAGAGTCATAATGATGATATTAAAAACTCGACTTGTTACCAAGTCAAAGATAAATCGTTGGAACTTGTTCTGTGTATAAAGGAAAAAGGTGTAATATTCTTATTAATGAGATATTTATACACATTGTCTTTAGATTTACAACTTCCCTCCCAGCATAAATAGTAGAATACGTGAAAACTAAGATTTTACCAAACTATAATTACAGCATGTAGTCAAAGAAAATAAACAAAAAGACCATCAAAAGCTGTGTCAAGGAACACCTTTAAAAAATTATGTCAAAATCATTTGTTGTTAAGAATTTTAAAAACACATCTTCATTTGTAACAGAGAATATATAAAGGAAACTTTTTCAGAAAGCTAAAAAATCTAGGTATTTCCTTACTTCTGGGTGAAGTACTTGTTTCTGAGAGTCTTTATATATCAGCTTCTTCAGGGCACGGTACTGCTTCTTCTGTTTGACTGTTATAAAGATATTTGAGCCTCCCTGGTAAAGCAATGAAAGAAAAAGATATTAAAATCATACTTAATCCACATTTCACCTTATATTAATATGCATTTTCTAAAGCTTGGCAATTATTGATTTAATCCTCTAAAGAATGCTTAACTGCAATGAGCTATATAATGTTTAAACATGTCTGACCTTCTGCGCAAAAATCCATACAAAATACAGAGTATACACTGGAAATGATTGATATTCAATTATATTTTGATGCATTTTGCTGTGGGTAGTCAACCCTATTTTAATTTTTTAGTTACTGGGACCTACCTCTTGTTAGAGACAAAAGAGAAACAGCAGAGGATATCTGGAAAGGTTACTAAGAATAGTTAACCCCAAAAGCTGAACTTGATTTGTACCTTTCAATAATCAAGAAAAAATAGAATTGGTCATATACTTGTTTTTATATGTTCACAGTTACTTAATTTTCCAAATACTATCAGAAGATATCTTTTCATTATTATTCCAAAAGCACCTAGTGCTTACCCCTTCATAATACCTTCTAGGAATTATTCGTTTTTGTGTTTTTAGTGTTAGTTTCGGTATCTTATATAGGAAAAGCAAAGTGAATAAGAGGTGAACATTTAATGTGTTAATCTAGGAGCTAGGAATTGTTACTGCCCATGTCAGGACTGAGTCACTTAAATTGACAGGGTTCACCAATTTGAAGCCCCTGGTCAGACTCTAGGAAGTTATTCCACTGGGCTGAAATCCTTAAGAAGCTGAAGCATAGAGTCCAGTGATCACTGATCCTTCTGCATGCATGCATGTTACGTAGCTTCAGTCCTTCTGCTGCTAAGTCGCTTCAGTCGTGTCCGACTCTGTGCGACCCCATAGATGGCAGCCCACCAGTCTCCCCCGTCCCTGGGATTCTCCAGGCAAGAACATTGGAGTGTGTTGCCATTTCCTTCTCCAGTGCATGAAAGTGAAAAGTGAAAGGGAAGTCGCTCAGTCGTGTCCGACTCTTAGCGACCCCATGGACTGCAGCCTACCAGGCTCCTCCGTCCATGGGATTTTCCAGGCAAGAGTACTGGAGTGGGAAAGCCCATCTAATAACTCTAATCCCATCTAATTAGTGCAGACTCAGAATGATCTGTTTACCAGATTCTACACCACATTGATGACTTTGCTAACTAGGAAATTTCAAGATTAAACTATTCTTTTCTTTGATTCACTAGAAGGCATTTCTACACTTAATAGAAAGTAGATCCCTGAGGTTAAAATAACTGGATTTACATGACATTTGAGGCATTTGTATTAACAGAAGCCCTGAAGGGAGTCTTTGTGTGGAGATGACACTGAACAGGGGTTTTTCAATTCTGCCTCTGAATTTTCTTATTTGTTCCAAGGAACTTCTATTTAGGTCACCTAATTAGGATTTATGACTCTCTATTTTCAGCAGAATACTCCAGTATTCTTGCCTGGAGAATCCCATGGAGGGAGGAGCCTGGTAGGCTACAGTTCACCGGGTTGCAAAGAGTCGGACACGACTGAGCTACTTCACTTTCACTTTTAGCAGAAAAAGCCATTTCAACTGACAAAGATGTCTCTGCTGGGTACAATTTTGAACCACTTTGAGTACATCAAAGAGTAAAACAGTGTGGTTTATTTTCCTTGAACATCTTCACATATTTGTGCAGATATAACAATGCTATTTTTCAGCATGTCATGATTTACAAACACATACACGGAAACAGTTGTAATGCTTAATGTTTAAACTTGTCTGTGCTTATTTGAATATAGAAAAGAGTGTAAAGATAAGCATTTTAGCAATATTCAATCTGCAAGAACATAAATAATTTTTTAAAGGTAAGTACCAAGTAAAAATGCTATTAAGCTGAATCTAAAATTAATTATTTGAAGCAGGACATCCCCACCCCCCCAGCCCCCCGCCGTCTTGGGCATTGATTGACAAAGAATATTTATACTTATCTTTATTTTATGCTTGTGGAAATTGGCAACAATAGCACCAATCAACATACTCAGAGGAAGAAATAATCCAATGATAATAAAGTCAATAAAGTAACAATACATATAGATGTTGTTTTCAAAATTAGGTTGCATATCTATCTAAAAGTTAAAAAAATAAGCAAAATAAGGCAGAGCACAGAGGATTTTTAGCACAGTGAAAATATGCTATATGATACCCTTATAACTAAGGGTATATGTCATTATACATTTGTCCAAACCCATAGAATGCACAACACTGAGTGAATTTTGGGTGATCATGATGTGTTAGTGTAGCTTTATCTTTGGTAAAAAAATATAGTATTGTGGTGAGTGATATCTATAATGAGGAGGCTATGCATTTGTGAGGGTAAAGGTATATAGGAAATCTCTGTAACTCCTTCTCAATGTTGTAGATCTAAAACTGCTCTGAAAAAAATATGTTTTTAAAAATAAAATACATGAAAAAGTGAGAAAACAGCAAAATATTGACACTGACTTTTTAAAATGTAAGATTTAGAAAACATTTTAGGACAAGAAAATCTAACAGTGCTACTTGAGGCAGTATTTCCTCTTTGTTCTTTGGTAAAGAGATATCACTGCTTTTATTTGAATTTTAAAGCTTATTGCATTGGTTTAATCATTGTTATGATAATCTTCAAATGTGCCTATTGGGCCTCAACCATTGTATATAATTCTGGAAGGAGTTCATTGTTCATGAAATATTCAATCTGAAATGAACTTTCTGTCTAGCATAAACATTTGCTATTACCATGTTAATTACTCAATTATTGCTTGTGTCCTGTCCTTGAATTGCAAAAATGACTTGGCCAACCTTAAGGATGGTTCTCAGATTGTACAGTACTTACATCAGTAGAATCAACTGCTGAATTCATAATAGTGATCCATCCATTAAATGTTGCCTGTAAAAATGGCATGTATTTAATTCTTATGGAAATCTTATGCTTTGAGGCAAATAATAATTAAAGGTCAATATTATTAATACAGTAAAACATTTGATTAGTAAGGTCAACCACACTTCAAAATACTGTGTAACTGAGATCTTTACCACTTTCATTATTACATTTATATTGTCTATTAAAAACTATTTAAAGCTATGTAGTTTATTTGTAGTAACTTAAAATATTTTAGAACAGTATAAATAAAAAGAGCTGGATAGACAGATGGATAAATGGTAAATAACTACATGCTGCCCAAGTCTCATAGTTACTTGTAATTGCTATATGTGTGCTTTATACTATGAAGGAGGTAAGACAGGAAAGATGCTAGATGTTGGGGGACTGAAGAGTCATTCCTCAAAGTACTAAGTAGAAACAAAACAGCAGTAACCTGAGTTGGATCAAAAATTGCGTACCTACTGTCTGATCAGTGGTGGAGGTAATAGGTTTGGTCAATACTTGGCATTTCTTCTGTTAACCTAGTTCTACCTTTATCTCCACTTCTTTTTTCCAACAAAGCAAGGACTATATTTCACTTTTGTCTTTCTAAATGAGCTTAGTATACTATGTCCCATAACATATATCTACTATCAATTGCTAAGATAATTTAAAACTAATTTTATTTTTTTTTTCCATTTATTTTTATTAGTTGGAGGCTAATTACTTTACAACATTGCAGTGGTTTTTGTCATACATTGAAATGAATTAGCCATGGATTTACATGTATTCCCCATCCCGGTCCCCCCTCCCACCTCCCTCTCCACCTGATCCCTCTGGGTCTTCCCAGTGCACCAGACCCGAGCACTTGTCTCATGCATCCAAACCTGGGCTGGTGATCTGTTTCACCCTAGATAATATGCATGATTTGATGCTATTCTCTTGAAACATCCCACCCTCGCCTTCTCCCACAGAGTCCACAAGTCTGTTCTACACATCTGTGTCTCTTTTTCTGTTTTGCATATAGGGTTATCGTTACCATTTTTCTAAATTCCATGTATATGTGTTAGTATACTGTAATGGTCTTTATCTTTCTGGCTTACTTTGCTCTGTATAATGGGCTCCAATTACTAATTTTATTAAGCATCCCACATTTTGTCCTTTATGTTCACCTACAATATGAATAAACATAATTCAAAAATTCAAACATGTACTTACTACTTGAAGCAGTGAAAGAAAACTGATTCCAACATTATCAAAATTTAGTTTTGCATTCTCCCATGGCATGGATTCATTAAATACAAGGCTTTCACATTGACTTCTGTTCATGACTTCAGATAGAGGAAACCTTTCTCCACTTGTTGGGTCAATGCACTCATAGAATTTGCCAGCAAATAAGTGTACTCCTATGATGCCAAAAGCCAGCCAGATCATAAGGCACACCAGAAACACATTCAATGTGGGTAAAGTTGTTTTAATCAAAGCTCTCACTACCACCTGGCATATAAAAGACAAACATATAAACTTTCAGTAAGAAATGTGAAAGTATTTTAATTATATTGGGAATATTTATTAATATTATGTCATGTTGAAATAACAACAAAAAAGGCCATCTTTGAAGATGTAATAGGTCACTTGCTAGTATTTGAATAACCTAAATAGCAATTTATATTTAAAATATATATTAAAAATTCATATATTCTCAAAAATTTTGCACTGATTAGTATAAATACTGAAATAAATAATTATTTCACTGATTTAACATGTTTATCCATCTCCCATATTGTACCAGAAATAGGCAAAACAAGTGAGCTTGTGTAAATGTATGAGATTATTTAGAAAACAGATAAAATGAGAGTGAAAAGAACCTAGGCCTAAGTCTTGGGGATTCTAACTTCAGGGATGATTAACCTACACAGTGGATGGAAATTAAGAGGAAGACCAGAAGACTGTAGATCAGTGAAGCCAAGGCAAGTGACTATTTAAAGAAATACTGAGTGGGCACTGTGCTTCTCAAAATCACTGACCACTCTGAGCCGCTGTCTCTGGTGAACCACTTCAGAGTGGGAAGTTGGGAAATGAATCTATTGCCTAAACTTAAATAAGCAGCAATAATCTATAATCACTGTCTCCATTTTCTCAGGTCCCTTTATTCTTTAATTATTATATTCAGAATTTTATTCCTATCATTCCACTAAAGCTCTTATACAAATGTAAACCAGCGGCTATACTCAATGCAATATTCTTCATCTTTGCTTTCTCTTTATCTTTTCTTTATCATTTACACTTGACTCCCTTTCCACAGCCTCACTTCCTTCTCTCTTTTCCCCCCACCCTGAGGCACCATTCTCTTTCCTATCATTCTAATCTTGCCTTCTATCAGCCATTACTGAAAATGTAGCCATTTGTCTGTACTTTCTTGTTTATATTCCTTAGATTTCTGTCCTTGAATTAATATTTTTACATTTAATTGTACTTCTAATTATATTTAGTTTCATTTCTAAAACTAAGTCATGGATCTTTTGTTGACACTACATATTTTGAAAGATCTGCTGATGCCTCTGATGAAAACAAGTCTGTGTCTATTAGAAAATATACACAAATGTTAAGAATAAAAGAAAGAGATATGGTTGAAATAAATATTTAAGTAATAAGAGCACCTGAAGACCTGAAGCTTATTAAATACATAAAATTTTAATTTTGTAATCACATAGCTTCCTTATACACTCATGATATATCTTCAGAATTAATTCAACTACAGATAGAACTTCCAGAGGATGAGATGAAGATTAAGATCTGGATCTGACTTTGGCCTAAGCATAATTATTTATCTGATCTCAAATTATCCATGGCTACTATCTCATTGCCATTCTAATTAATGTATGGCACCAAATAGTACAGGACTTGATTTCTGACTTTCCCTAGCAAATCATTTCCTAAAATTGCCTGTGTTTCTATAAATTGAGGGAAGACAATCTGCTGATTTTGAAACTCTTTTTTCCTCTCCATGTATCTAAATTGATTAGGAAAAAAATACACGGTATGTCAGAATGTTTTTAAAGTTAAAACATGTTATTTTAGTTACATTTATTATCTAATTTGTGTGTATAACTATATATGTGTATATGTATTTCACTTTATTTAGGTATAATTTACAAAAACTGTGTAAGTTTAAGACATACAAGATGATGTCCAAATATATGTATAAAATGTGAAATGATTCCCACAATCACACTAATTAACACATCTATCACCTCACATAGATATCTTTTGGGATAAATGGTGAAAAACATTTAAGTTGTACTCTCAGAAAATTTCAAGTATATAATGTAGTATTACTAACTGTAGTCATGATGGTGTATACTAAATTCCCCAGAACTTATTCATTTTATAAATGAAAGTTTTGGATCCTTTGATCAACATCTCCCCATTTCCTTCACCCACAACCCATGTTTTAATAGGCTATGTGTAGTTTATAGCCCTAGAATATTGTATGAAATCTTTCTATCACTAAACTGAATATGCATTAGAAATTTGGCTTTTGTATTAATAAAGACACAAATGAGAAGATAACAAAGATTATTAATTTATGGATGTTTATTAATCCCAGATAAAAACTTGTAGATTATATTAAAAACTTTTCTCTTACCTTCATTTTTTCAAATTGAGATAGAACTCTGAGTGCCCGAAGGAATTTAATGGAAACAAGTGGTTTTAGTTCTTCCTGAGATTTGCCTATTAAACTAAGACAGAACACCTGGATATATATAAATAAAAAATTGAAGAGAATTTAATTTTTAATTTAATCAAAACAATCTGTAAATGAACATTTATTACAGAAAATTTTTTAAAGTATTCTAAAGCTATTTAAAAACTATTTCACAAAATTCAAAAGTATTTTTTGGTGAGAATAATAAATGTTAGAGATAAAAAATTGTGTATTTGAGATTCTTTATAGTCAAAAAGTAATATTTACATTCATTTTTATTTTAAAATTAGATTAAGAATTAGTTTCATGATATTTGCAATAGAGTAATAGTAAACAGTATATTCATTAAAACAGAATTGAAAATATGTTTTCATATGAAACCAAATATATATATAGTTAAGACAATATGAAAAATAGGATTTCAGAGATGAGGCATCAAGGAGGAAATGAATATTGTTAAGTTCAAATACTAATTACAAAAAAAAAGGATTCTAAGGTGATTTTTTTTAAAGTAAACATACATGCATAAATATGATTCAATATTAATAAAAATGAAGGTGGTATAGTTATGAGTAATTTTGTTGTACCTTCATTTTTCTATATTTTCAAGGTAATATAAATGAAAAAAATTATTCTCTTTTACCCTATACTAAAGAGGCTCAGAGTGGGCTTCAAAGTAAGGATATCATTTACATACGCATGGAAGAATGCAGATACAAAAGAACAATAACCAAGAAACAGGAAGGTGGGTTGCAGGTATAGTGTGGTATCATCGAAATAGAAGGTTAGTTTGCAAGAATTAAGTTAGAAGACAAAGGTCAGATATTGTAAGTCATTATTTATAGACTGAGAAGTTTCAATCATTGTTGATAGAATGGGGAGACATTTGTTCATTCAACAAAAATTAATGAGCACCTACTATGTGACATGAATTGTTCTAGGCATACAGGGTAAGGAGAGAACAAAATTGAGAAAATATTTTGGTTTAATGGAGCTTATTTTTCTTGTTATGTGGAGAACAGAATAAATGTGTGCAGTGGTGGAATCTACTGTAATGATTCACATGTTCTGGTACCTAGGATCACTGTGCTACTGGTGAAGTGTACGCTCAGATGCTCAGTTGTGTCCAACTCTTTGCAATTCCATGGACTGTAGCCTGCCAGGCTCCTCGGTCCATGGGATTCTCCTGGCAAGAATACTGGAGTGGGTAACCATTTCCTCCTCCAGGGGATCGTCTCGACCCAGGAATCAAACTCGTGTCTCTTAAGTTTCCTGCATTCAGCAGGCGGATCCTTTACACGAGGGCCATATGGGAACCCCGGTTTATGTTAAGTGGTCTAATTTTAAATGTATGATTTAAAGGTAGAGCCAATAGAACTTGAATAGTTTATAATGATGATATTTTCAAAATATTGTTCAATAAGCCTATTCTCTTAGCAGCAGGTTTATAGGTAATGATTAGAAAAATCCAGGAGTTAAGTGCTGAAATGTTAAAATTTTAAAATGGAAAGGATGGATGTTAAACATTACATATAAAGAAACATGGGATATTGGTGACTGAGAATGTATAGAGAAAGGTAAAAGAAAGATACACATAAATCAAAAAGAAAGTCAGAGTAAGAGTAAAGAAGGAAGAGTAAACAAATAGCCTTTAAAGTTTTTCTTTAAAATACGTACGATAACAACCATGAAGTCTATTTTGTACCAGCCATTAGTGAAATAGGCTTTAAAACCATATGCAATCCACTTTAGAAGCATTTCCAGAATAAAGATATAAGTGAAGATCATGTCAGCATATTCTAATAAGATCTTAATAGTCTTTCTCTGATCAATATATATATCTTCAAAAGCCTGTGGGTGAAATATTTAAAGATCAGTGTACATGTAAATTCTAAAAACTCTTCTGGCAAAGTGGGGAATGAAATCCCATCTCCAGATGTGACCACTGTCAGAGATTGCAGTCTCAAGGCTTGTACACTTGGTGTGAGTTTTTTCAAACAATCCATGTCCATTTTCTGCTCCCATGCCTGTAGCAGACATCACTATTGATTCCAGAACCTCTACTTATAGAGTCTGAACTTGACCTCAGCACTGTTCTAAACAGTGAACTGAAAATTCTCTCTCAAATCAGTTATTCAAACTTAGATGGAATCTTTAGTCATATCTGACCTGGTTCTTATCTCTTATAGCCATCTCACAGATACATGCCATTGCAAATCAAGGAGTAGAGATACAAAGAAAACCCCTAAACTTGTGTTTTCAGAAATCCCTACAGCTATTACAAGAAAAGTCACAAAGCGTGTCAGATAAACCAGTGGAAATAAATGAGTATGAAATAAGACTATAATATTCTTCTAACGTTTCTCAGTTTTAATAGGTCAACCTCAGTTTTATTGTGGAGGAAGCAAAGTCTGATAATGTCATTCAAATTAATTTCATAGTAATTTTTTTAGCATTGAAAAAAGGCCATAAAGTATCAATAACCTCAGGCAGACTTGTTGCAAAGTGCAATGGAGGTCAAAGATTCAACACAGATGAAAATAATCAGATGTAAAGAAAGGTGTGATTCTTGAAAAACTACTGCTAAATAAAAGTATATATAAAATAATAGAATTAACTGGCGCAATGGAACCAAGTATGGACTAAAGTATCCTTTAAAACAGATTATAAACATGAGCCAAAGTTATTCTAAAGTACTATTTACTAAATGGATTCACCTACTGAAGATACATAATGCAAAATAATATAAAAAGATACGCAGAAGCCTCTATTTCAATTAAAACATTAAAAAAATAGGCAACCTCGGGACTTTGCTGGTGGCTCAGTGGTAAAGAATCTGCCTACGAATACAGGGGATACAAGTTTGATCCCTGGTCCAGGAAGATCCCACATGCCACAGGACAGCCAAGCCCACGTGGCCACAGCTGCTGAGCCCAAGTTCCAGAGCCCAGTGCGCCGCAAGGGAAGCTCCCGCAGTGTGCAGCCCGGGCACCTCAACAAAGGGTAGACCTCACTCGCAGCACCATGAAAAGCCTTTGCGCAGCAGCAAAGACCCAGTGCAGCCATAAATTTAATAAGTAAATCTTTTTAAAAAACCAGGCGAAACCAGTAGAAGGCAGTTGAAGCCCACACGCTGGCTACCCAAGCGGAATGCAGAAGTAACTGTGAGGGGTCAGAGTGCGGTTCTGGAGTCCTGGGAGTGCTCTCCTTCTCAAGGCAAGTGATGGTTATGTGGGTACATTCACTTGGTGAAAATCCTTTATGCTATGCACTTATGATCTGTATGCTTTCCGGGATGTGTGCTAAATGTCAATATAAAGTTTACTTTAAAAATGCATGCAGGACAAAGTCTGGTTCCCAACCATCACACCATCTTCTCTGTTTCCTGTATCTCACAATTAACTATTTCTTGTGGATCAGTCTCTGATCTTTAATCAGACACAAGCAAATATCAATGCACATTCTATTTTTCTTCCTTTCCTACATAGAATGAAGCATGCTGTGTACTTTATTCTTTCTTTTTTTTCACTTGTTACCATACCTTGGGGAATTGCAATATCAACATGCAGACAGGTCTTGCATTTTCTAGCTAACTGCATAGTATCCCACTGGATGACTGTACCATAGTGTATTTAAACAGTCACTTAATATATATTCTTTTTGCTTTTCAAAAGAAAATTGAAAATAATATTTTGGTATTACAAAAGTTCTTCAGTGCATAGACTTGTAAACGCACTTAACTCATGTGAAGATTCTAATTTCCCAGAATTAAGATAGTTGTGTCAATGAGTAAATATTTTTGTAGGTGGTTCAAAGCTTCTTAAAAATATATAAAAATATATATTCCTCTTTCCTTATGGAACAAGTACCAAAGTACTAGCACAATATGTGCACATTATTAAACTTTATTAAAAGAATAAGGTATTTATTAACATTCTTTTTCCTGCTATCATTCACATATTTTGAAATTATTTAATATTGAATGAGGCATATACAGACTCTCTAAGAAACTGCAATGTATATCTTCCAAAACTAAAATCATAGAATATAAAATTTGGTACTATAATAAGTATTCTGGGGGAAAATAATTTGGCTTGGTGACATTATGAATTAATAGACCTATGATGCATTTTTCCCATAAAAATATCACATACGCTTACTTACCAGAGCACCTGTGCTGAGCAGAGTGACAAGGCCAATAAAACACCTAAAGCAACTGTTTTCTACTATTTTGCAGCAAGTTTTCCTTATGTTCTGCCAGATTTTTCCTTCCTTGGGGCCTCTACTGATTTGAGCAGATGAAGATCTTCGTTCATAAACTGTCAAGAATAAAACTATTAAGAACAAAAATCTAGAAATTCACGAAAAAAACATTTCAAATGTTTTAACAATCATTTATTTACAGTATCTAATATAGATGTTCTCTGACTTATAAACGTTAGATTTATACACCTACTGTAGTGACCATTGCAATCGCTGAGAAAAAAAGAAAAACTTGTGAGTTCCATAATAGTAAGGAAGGGAGGAAAAAAACCTTGATGCTGGGAAAGGCTGAGGGCAGGAGAAGGGGGCAACAGAGGATGAGATGGCTGGATGGCATTACCAACTCAACGGATATGAGTTTGAACAAACTCTAGGAGATAGTGAAGGACAGGGAAACCTGTCATGCTGAAGTCCACGGGGTCGCAAAGTGTTGGACATGAATCAGCAACTGAACAACAAGTAAGTAAGTATATGTTAATCGCGTCCAATTCTTTGCAATCCCATGGACAGTAGCCCACACCAGGCTCCTCTGACCTGGAATTTCCCAGGCAAGAATATTGGAGTGGGTCGCCATTTCCTGTTCCAGGAGATCTTCCCAACCAAGAGTTCAAACCCATATGTCTTGAGTCTCCTGCATTAGCAAGGGGATTCTTTACCACTGTACCACCTGGGGACCATAGTAGGAAAAAAGAAATTGTGAAAGGCACAGATGACTCAGAACATCCTCTTACCCTATTAGACAGAATCTGAGAAAGAAGATACCCCCACTCCTACAAAAACAAACACACCCACACACACCATCTTCTGATTATTAGATTTTTTTGGTGTAATGCCTTAAAATTCATTCTTTGAAGATTTACATGGCATAACAAGCATTTCATTTAAATATGCAAATATTTATGACATGTTAAGAGGTATAATATCAATTAAGTAAATTAAATTTATCCCAGTTCTTCAGTGGCATGGGATAGAAATTTTGAATGAGACTATTTAAGGAGCTAGGCCTGGATTATGGAGTTTTTTATGGGTAGGGTACAGGTGTAATTCTATCTTCTGATCAAGAGAGTTAGCATAAGGAAAACCTGAGGCTTGAAAAGGGTGTGATTAACTGATAAGACAATGAAGCATGGAGGTGGGTGCAGTTTAAAGCCAATACATTTAAATTTTTTCCCTAGAGCCAATTTATACATTCTTGGTCAGAAAAACATAAGAAATGTTTTCTCCCTGGTCTTTTATCATATAAGTCCTAGAACTCAGGCTACTGAGAGCAGATGCTTATTTTTGAGTATAGGAATTTGAACATTTCGGAATTGCCATTTTGATGATTTCAGTGATTTTAAATATTTAGAACCTATGGTTATTTATCAGTCTTGATAGGAGACTAACACACTGCTCAGTAGCTCAGTCATCTCCGACTCTTTGCAGCCCCATGGACTATAGCCCAACAGGCTCCTCTGCCCATGGAATTTTCTAGGCAAGAATACTAGAGCGGTTTGCCATTTCCTACTCCAGGGGATCTTCCCGACTCAGGGATTGAACCCGTATCTCTTGTGTCTCCTGCATTGGCAGGTGGATTAGTTACCACTAGCCCCACCTGGGAAGCCCCTTTAGGAAACTAAATTAAATTATAAATTAGAGAGAGGTGCATATTACATGTTTAATAACTTAGTCAAGTGACCGAAGCCCTATATATTTCTTAATATTCATGGAGCTTATAAAAATAAATGACTATTACATTTGTTTTCCTATGAGTATTTTAAATATTGACCCCATTCTATGAGGTATAAACACACACACACTAATTTAATCTTTCTATTAATCCCATGAAGTAAGTCTTATTCTTATCCTCATTTTACATATTAGGAAATGAGTCAGAGGAGGGTAAGGAAAAGCTAGTAAATGGTGGGCTGGGATCTGAACTCAGTATGTGTGATTTCAGAACTAAAACTTTTAACTACTTCATGAGATCCCCTAGGAAGCAGGCCCTTTATCTCCGTTCCAGACATTGATTTTTTCTTTGACATTTATTATAAGATTCTATGTGTATATATATGAGCATGAGTGCATATGCACACACACAAACACATCTGCATGTGTGTATTCCTTAGTCAAGTTAATAAACTCTTTAAAATTAAAAGTGTATTTAATAGTATTATTTAGGTTAAGAGAAATTTAGCCTAATGTTAATATAATGATTAAAAGAACTTATTTTTTTCTTACCATTTCTAAGATGCTTTGGCTTTTCATGTTCATAGACCATTTCTTCTTCTTCAGAGAGAACAATATCAACTGTACTACATTCAGATGAGCTCGACTGCTTTACTTTCTGAAAAGTAAGTCCCACCAAGAAAGTTGCCATCAAAGTTTCATTTACTCACTATACCTAAAGCTTATTTCATTTTCAGCAAAAAGAAAAATTATGTACAGAAAAATTACTGTCACAATAAAAGACTTTATGCCAATTTCATGATTGATATTAAAATGCATACAGAGACTTCTGCCTGGGGGTTAAGACTCTGAGCTTCAAGGCAAGGTGCACGGGTTCAATCCCTGGTCAGGGAATTAAGATCCCACATGCCACATGCCACATGCCAGTTTTTACAAAAAATAAAAACTAAATTAAAAATAAATTTTAAATGTATACATATCTCTGGGAGTCAAAATGTTTAAAGACATTTTAAAACTTAATGTAAGATAAAAAAATTTTCACATTAAAATGAATAACACTGTTCTAAAAGATGTATAGGCTATCCCAAATTTCTGAAAAATCTAGTTAGAATATATAAAATGAATAACACTGTTCTAAAAGATGTATAGGCTATCCCAAATTTCTGAAAAATCTAGTTAGAATATATAAAAAAACCATAAATATTTTGTTCTACCTCTTTGTCTTTTGCACAATAAATGTCAAAGAAATAAAATTAGCAAGTTTTGTTTGCTTTAAGCCATATATTGTCAATTTTAAGACATTATACTGCTCTATTAAGAACATAAAATATTCAGCAGGATATTACTTTTAAATAAACAAATCTTTTAAAAGATTATTTGATTTCCCTTTGTATTCTCTTTATTATTGATAAAATAAGGTATAGCAATGCATTGATTTGGGAGTAGACAATAATATTATGTAATATTCAAGCATACAATAATGGAAAATCATACATTATATATTTAAATGATTCATTAGAGTATTTAAAACCCTAACACATAAATTATCTGATATGATTTTCTCAAAACCCTGAGTATTTATTATTTTAAATTTATAAATAAATCAAAATTATAAATCATTTTAGTAAAAGATTACTTAGTGACCAATATATATGGGTACATTATGAAAAATGTTTCAAAATCTGATTTAAGTTTGATGTTATTTTTATGAAATTTATATAATTATATATTTGTACTAAAAGATAAAAGTTAAAATACCAAAGAAAACAAGAACATGAATCTCTGAATTATCATATCACTTGTAATTTTTATATTTTATTCTTTGCTCTTTTAGATCAACATCCTAAATACTCTTGGGCTACATAATCTGGAAAGTGATTAATTAAATATATAATGAAATATATAAATGATAAAATCTTCTTTGAGTACTTAACCAATCAAAAGAACCAAATAATTATGCAGCTTAAGTAAAAACTTCTGAAACTTCAACATTTACAGTTACATTAAGTTCCATCTTTCCTATATATTTTCATATCTCAGATTTTCTAAAGAGATTGACAAGAAGTTTTTCAGGACATTTCCACACAATGTGTTACAATAAATAGCAATTTTACCCAGAAATGTATAGTAGCACATGCCTTATAATGTTGTTATAATTTAAATAAAATCAGTGTGCAAGAGAAGAATGTTTTTCATTTCCTAACAATGGTATTAATTAAAGGAAAATGGACCTGACAAGGTTGGGTATGATAAGGAGTGAAAATGTTTCTCTGAAAGGAAGATGCCTTTACCAGAAACTAGAAGGACTCTAGATAATTGAAACGTAATTCCTGTTAGGAGGCCAATTTGATAAGCTATTACAGAGAACAGCTGATAAACCAGAAGAGGTCTGGGAGATAAGATGGTACCAGAGACTTTGAGGATCTGAAAAAAGACATTATCTTCCCTGCCCTATGCCAGTGAATGAAATAAAACAATTCTCTAGTGAAGTTCAGTGGAAGTGGCTCACACTGCAGATGTGATCGCTACAGATGTAGCTTTGTATTAAATGGTACCTCCTACTAAGACACTGTGCTACTTGCAAATGAAGACATAAGACTGGATTCAGCAAAGTATACATTTTTAAAGCTAAGTGAACGGTAGTATCTGCCCTTCTTTAAAGGTGATCCTTTATTTTTTTTGGTTCCCTGGTGGCTCAGCAGTAAAAAATCTGCCTACAATGCAGTAGATGTGGGTTCAATCCCTGGGTCAGGAAGATCCCCTGGAGAAGGAAATGGCAACCCACTCCAGGATTCTTGCCTGGAAAATCCCATGGACAGAGGAGCCTGGCGTGTTACAGTCCATGAGGCCACAAAGGAGTTTGACACGACTTAGTGTCTAAACAACAACAACAAATTGTTTACATTTACAACTGATGTTTCTTTTACCCTTTGGTCTTTTAGTCCAACTCAATTATACTGGACTAATTATGTTATAATATATGTTGCAGAAATAAATTGACAAGAATCTTAAAATTTTAGCAAGCAGGAAAGTATCTGTATCTTAGCACTCTTCTAGTACCATCTTATATTTTAAAGATGATAAAGTCTAGGAGAGTTTAGTGATTTCTCCAGTAATATGCATTAATTGTAAAATTAATTGTAAAATTGTAAAATTTTACAAATTGTAAAATTTGTAATATGCAAAATTGTAAGAATCTAGGTTTCTTCACTATGCTTCTTATCACCCCATTAACTGAAGATATTATAATTATGTTATCTAATGTTTGCTAAGTGCTTCCATATTTTAGACATTATCCTATGTACTATTGAACTATTTTTCTTAATCATTCTATCTCTTCTGAGAAATAGATACAATTTTATCCTCATTCACAGATGAAGAAACTTAAGAAGTTTAAGAGACTGGATCAGGAGCAGAAAATCAGGAGAAGGAGTGCTGCAGCTAGGACTGAATGGGTAATAATCTAACTTTGGAACTTCAGCATTGCTTCACTTCCTTGTCAACAGTCCCATCAATCAACAGTATGCAACCATGATGTTAAAACAACTTACCTCTTTGCTGCTTCCATCACCTGACTTGCTCTGAATCTCCTTATTGTCCGGATTTTCTATATCAGATTCTTCTGAAGCAATCGGTACAGTTTCTGAGACACTGGGACTGGGGATTAGCGACTGACTCTCATTCTCGGTCATTGTGTTTTTCTCTGTGCCGCTGCTTTTTTCCTTATCCTTGAGGAAATCTTGGGTGTTGCTCAATTCAGAGAGCGTATGGTCAGAAATATTCTCTTTAACATATACATCACTTACATTGTCCATTGTTTCCTCTAGAACATTTTGTTTTTTGCATAGTATTTTAGAAAGCACATAATTTATTCCTTTTTTAATTCTTGCCATTGCACGCTGGAGATTTTTTGCTTCATCATTTTCTTCAGTTGTTGCAGGCTTGTATGAACCAAATGAGATGATCAACGCCAGAAACAGGTAAAGTATCTGAATGTGGAAGTAAATGAAGCTAAATGCATCTCATTTTTTGTTTTCTTTCAAACAACAACAACAACAAATATTTTTAAAAAGCTGGCCTGCAATCTGAAAACAGCATACACACTATGATGCTCTTTAGGCTATTCAGTTCTTCTCTACAGAGGATCAGTTGCTGTGTTAGGAATTTGGATAGCCAGAAGGTTACAATGTTTTATGAAATATCATTTGTTTCTCCTTTACAGATGAAAAACACAAAGCTTACAGATGCCAAGTATCAAAAATCACAGGGGTTGAACTTAAGTCTGTCTTACTCCAGTTTGTTTTCTTTTCTACTAAGCCAGGCAGACTCTCCCAAGGTGAGAAAATCAATTGCTACTCCAGGTGGCTGAATTCACTTCAAGCTAACTCAGAAAGATATCAGAAAGATATGTAATGACATCTTCATGGGTTCTGCAAATTCATGAGGACTCTCCTGGGGAGAAAGCTATCCCTAGTTTTGAAGGCCACATCTAATTTTCCTTGTGATGTGCAAGCACAGGGTTTAGGTAGGCTAGTTGATTCTCTGTGGTAATAAATTTGGTCAAATAAGAAAGAGATGAGTAGTGGAAGGATCATGCCTAATATATGCAAATTATTTTGAATTCAAAGATAGTGTGTATTTCAACCTTTACTATCACTGAGAAATAAGATCAAGGCATGTCCAATTTCCAGAGAATTAGATTTTTATTTTGTTTCTTATTGTAGAGTATAAATTATCATTTTAGATTATAAGATTAGAGATAATTAGAGATGCATTGATTATTCTTTTAAAGTAATAATTTAGGCATTTTGTCCTTTCTGGAAGTTTTCTCTCTTCTCTTCAAATATTTGAACTTTTGGAAATTTAAATTACTTTATAATAATTTAATAAAAATATATAATTTAATAAAAATAATATGCTTTACATATTATTTTTAAAGGGAAAAGTTCAAATGATATTATGTATAAGAATATGTATATAACTTACATAAAACTTTTCTACTGTATTTCCGAGTTCTTAATACTTACACTGACAATTTATGTGTACATAAAATAAAATAATTAACTATATGAAGATCTGCAACATTCATTTGTTAAAATATCTTTCAGAATTTTGGATCTATCTGAAGAGATGAATTCTCAAACACTGATAATTGCTGAGTTTCTCATGCACATATACAGCTAAAATATTATGACGTACCCACCAAATTGTGTTCAACTCTAATGGATTACCTTTAAGTCTCAATAACCAAATCTTTTTATCTCTTAGGAATATAGAAAGCTCAAATAAGACTCACTTGTGGACAAACAGAAATACTTTTGCAGATAATAAAGTCATAAAATAAATTATCTTAGCTGCAACCATAGTTTGGTGTATAAAATAAAATGGAGAGTTTAACATTTGGCTCAGCATTGGAAATTTCTTACAGGTAAGATCTCCTGAACAATAACATGTATTTTCTATAACCTACCATGACAGACTCTCAACGGCTAAAAAATTGAAAACTGAAAAGACAATAATTGAATGTCAGTATGGCATCACCAATGCAACGGACATGAACTAAGGCAAACTTCAGGAGATGGTGAGGGACAGGGAGGCCTGGCATGCTGCAATCCATGAGGTTGCAAAGAGTCCAACACGACTGGGCGGAAAAACAACAAAACAACTGAAAAACAACACCTACAGACGAGTTTGATTGTTCTTCCACTAGTATCCCGTTTTGCTAGCAAGGTTTATTTAGACAGAATCTGGGCAGGGGCTCCATGGGCCTTGTAGAAACTATCTTATTAACATCTCTATCATTCTCAAAGGATGAAGAGCAAGAACAAGCATAATTTAAGGTTGTTGGTTGTTTCTTTTTCCTTTGTTTGGTTAAGTATTGTTCACAGTGAGAAAAAAGAAAGGGTGTTAAGGAAAAATTTCATGACTACAAGCTTTATATGTGTTGGAACCATTTTTTCTCTTCAGTAGATAACTAGCACAATGCAAAGCACAAAGTACATGATAAAGTATGAAATATTTGTTGAAAAATTAATTAATTATGGAACAAATGAAAGATTTCTATGTCAGGATTTGGAGAGGAAAAATTATAATACAATTGTATTTTTAAGAGCTTACGATCTAACATTTCTTATATCTTTGACATGTACACACACTCCCTATCACGCATATATACATATGCAGTGAGTGTTAAGACTGAAAATTAAGTTGAAAATGCTGTGATGTAAAGAAAGAACTGTGAAACACTGTAAAATGCAACCACTTTATGGGACTCATGATCCCTTCCTTCATGGAAGTTCTAGCTTAATAAGGAAGATAGACAAGTACATGAACAATTAAACACAGTGTCAGTATGTACTTAGGACAGGAGTGGGTCCAGGGTAAATAAAAGCAATGAAAAATGCACTTATACAATGGATTTTAACCTGTGATTTTTTTGTTCCTGTCTTTTGGGAGATCCGCTTGATCTCTGTGAGTTAGGAGAGAAAAGTAAATATTGAGCCTCTTTTTTCCCCAATAAGAACAAATATATTTTATAAACCATTTTTTTCCCCTAAGAAGAATTATGAAAGTGAAAGTCGCTCAGTGTGTCTGACTCTTTGCAACCTCATGGACTACATAGTCCATGGAATTCTCCAGGCCAGAGTATTGGAGTGGGTAGCCTTTCCCTTCTCCAGGGCATCTTCCCAACCCAGGGATCAAACCCAGGTTTCCTGCATTGCAGGCAGATTCTTCACCAGTTGAGCCACAAGGGACACCCTAGAAGAAGTATAAGATACTTCAATTAATGTAATCACTACAATTACTGGAAATTTAGGAGTGAAAGTGTTTCCTCTTAGTTAATGTATGATAGTTTCAAAGATCAGTGGTTTTCAAAATTTGCTGCACAATTTAATCAAATGATGATTTTTTTTTTAATCCTGATGACTAAGCTATGTCCACATAACAATAAAATCAGAATCTCTGGGAATGAATCCAAGACATTATTTTATTTTTATTAGTTCTCCAAGTAACTCCAATGTGCAGTCAAATTTGACAACCAGTGTTACATTTAAGTGCTTCTTAGAATTTAATGTGTACACAGATCACTTAGGGATATTGTTAAAAATGTAGATTCCACTTTCACAGGTCTGGGATGGGGTCTGAGAGTCTACATTAATAATTGTTTCCCACATAAAACCAAAGCTACTTTGAGTAGCAGGTTATAACCAATGAAAATATGATGAACATCATGTATGCAATTTTCCAGCAGCCCCATTAAAAGTATAAACAAAAACAGGTGAAATTAACATAACTAATACATTTTATTCAACTAAATGTATAAAAATATTACAATTAAAATGCTTTCACTTCAGTCATGTCTAACTCCTGATGGCGCTATGGACCGTAGCTCACCAGACTCCTCTGTCCATGGGATTTTCCAGGCAAGAATACTGGGGTGGGGTGCCATTTCCTTCTCCAGGGGATCTTTCCAACCCAGGGATTGAAACTGCATCTCTTGTGTCTCCTGCACTGGCAGGCGGATTCTTTACCACTAGTGCCACCTAGGAAGCACTTTCAATATAAGAATTATTAATGAAATCATTTACATTCTTTTTTGGGGGAGGGCAGGAGGAGAGGGGGACGACAGAGGATGAGATGGTTGGATGGCATCACCAACATAATGGACACGGGTTTGGGTGGACTCCGGGAGTTGATGATGGACAGGGAGGCCTGACATGGTGCGGTTCATGGGGTCACAAAGAGTCGGACACGACTGAGCGACTGAACTGAACTGAAGACTTCAAATTCAGTGGGTATATTACACTTATAACATATCTCAAAGTGGACCACTCATATTTTAACTGATTAATGGCCACATGTGGCTAAAGGCCTCCATATCAGCCAGCACAGTTGTAGACCACTGGCTTCCATAAGTCTTCATTATGAAAATGCCAGACTACAATACATGATTTTTTCAAGGAAAGTTTTAAAGCACGGATTACTTACCAATAATTTTCCAATTAAAATCACCATCATGTAAAAAGGAATACAACTCAATTGACCTGCTACCTTAAAGCAATCCCATAAAGTCTCTATCCACTCTCCACAGAGAATCCGGAATACATTCAGGAAAGAATGGAAGAAATCATGCATGTGCCAGTGTGGAAGCTGACAGTCTTCATTTATGTTGCAGACATATTTTTTGTAATTTGAACCATACAGGTTTAGGCCAACCACAGCAGAAAAGAATATAAACGTGAACAACAGCAGGACCAAGTCTTTCAGGGCAACAATTGAGTTACAAAGAGTCAGCATCAGAATCTTAAATGTTGGCCAGTATCTTCCCAATCTAAAAATTCGTAACTGATAGAGCAATGTAAAAACAACAAAAATAAGGAAAAAAAATGACAAAAACTCTGGTCACTATTAATTACAATGTACATTTAAAATTTTTATTAGCATTATACCCATAAACGTGTGTAGTCTCTAATGTAATATTCACTTTTGAGCATTATTAATACTAAGCACTGAAAATTCAGTTTATATACAACTTTTAATACATCTTACATATTCTATAGTTTTTTACACCAAACTTAAGTATAGTTTCTATTGATCTGTCAATTCCCATTTTTTCAATATTATACTATTATAAGTACTCCAGTTTTGTTTTAGTATCTGGTAAAGCAACTTTCCATTCTTAATTTTCTTTTAACAAAATATATTGAATATTTTCCTGCATTTCAACATATAGATGATATTGGAAAAGTCTCAAGGGTCCGTTGAAGTCCACTGACAGCTCTATTGTGTGCATGAGTGCTAAGTCACTTCAGTTGTGTCTGACTCTTTGTGACCCCATGGACTGTAGCCTTGCCAGGCTCCTCTGTCCATGGGAGTTTCCAGGCAAGAATACTATTGTATATTTACCTTTAAAATTAACATGAGAGTGAAACATTCAAGGTTTAATTCAAGGTTTTAATCTGAATATTTCACTTATTTTCACTAGATTTAAAAATTTTTATTCACATGGCACAAAATCACTTTAATATTTGAGTCATCTAAAATCCACATATTGTTTTTATATGTGCTATACCTTCCCCAACTTTTTCTGGTATGTAGTTGGCTATGGGACTCAAGGGTTAGGACTTAACACTTAACCATGTAAAACTTAATCATTTTAGGTTCAATCTGTTACTAGTCTTTCAGATATTTTGATACAATCTTTTATTATATTGTCTGTATTTCCTAGTCTTGCTTCATTTATAAATTCAATAAATACAACTTTTATATTTTCCTCTTACTCATTAGATAAGCCTATGGATAAAGACAGGGTTCTGAAGAATTACTTGGATGAGATTAAATCTACCTAATTGTTCTCATTTCTGCTACATTCCTTCAACTTGTTAACAGAATAAGACAGTATATTATTTATCAAATACCCAACATTTCCATAAATATTATTCTAATAACATAATTTCTTTGCTTAGTTTCCTGATGCTTTTACTGCCACCTACATTTTAGGCATATATTGATTCTGACTTGATAACCTTCATAGTAACATTTTATTAGCCTGAAAGTCCTTCTTTTACAAAATTTTGAAATCTATATTTAGATATACTCACCTGATTCTAACTCTTTAGTTGCACATTGGCATTCAGCTTTTGGGACTCTCTATTACCCTGCTTCTCAAAACTGCCCCAGTAATCCTGACCCTGCTTTATAGAACTATATCTCAAATTCACTGTATATATGGCTTATTTCTTTTAATGCCCGGGCCAAACAGCATTAGAAACTACTTACTCTTTTCTGGGTTACTTTCTAACCTTGTTACATATGAATTATTTCATTTAATAGTTCTAACATACCAACAGGATAGGTATTACTATTCTTCCCACTTTATGTCTGAGGAAACTGAAATGAATTTTTATAAAATAAAATTCAGGTCTTGTATTCTACTTACCACCCTGAATGATCGTAAAATAGCCAGTTCATGAAAATTTGTTAGATAAAGTTCTGCTAAACCATGGAACACAATTAGGCTATCATATATGTTCCAGCCTACTTGGAAATATCCATATGGATGCAAGGCAATTATTTTAAACATCATTTCTGTTGTGAAAATTCCAGTAAACACCTAAATAAAACAAAACACAGGGATGAGAATATGATTTCAGTAGCTCTATCAGAACCCTCATACACAGAATAAATTTTCACTGTCACTTTCTTCATATTTTCTCTGTCAAAATATGATTAGTTTTGGAGTCTGCCTCACAAGGACATGTTCATACATTTTGTTTGACAATCTAAAGTCAAACATTGTATATAGAATCTTCAATTACTTTAATAAAAGCCATCCTGGAAGAAAACAAAAGAATATTTGAGAGTGAAAATCTTTTCATTTTGAATAGTTCCTTTGGGGATAAAGAGTACATATTAAGATACTTAATTTTTTAAAAATATAAAAGGAAATTTTAAAAATATAGATGACCTAAAAAAAGGTAAACCTATGAAAACTGTCATTTGAAAAACTGTACTGGCAGAAATAACTAAATTATTGTTTCGGTAGCAAATAAATATATAGTTCAAAATTGGTAGCAACTGACAGTATTAATATCAAGCAACTGTGCTATGCTGTGTTTAGTCACTCAGTTGTGTCTGACTCTTTGCGACCCCATGGACGGTAGCCTGCCAGGCTCCTCTGTCCATAGGAATTTTCCAGGCAAGAATACTGGAGTGGGTTGCCATGTCCTCTTCCAGGGGATCTAAACCCAGGTCTCCAGCATCGTAGGCGGATTCTTTACCATCTGAGCCACCAGAAAAGCCTACTATTCTTGTTGTTTAGTTACAAGCAACTAAACAACAGCATAAAAGCAAACAAAATTAACAATATAGATTGACCAAAACTGATTGAATGTGACTTGTTTTTAAACTCATGGAAAGTTTTTTCTCTTGCCTATTTTTACATGAGAAAAAAAAAAAAAGATAGGTGAATTTCAAAAATACCTTGCCACAAAGATAAGCTCCAATCTAAGGTAGGCTCAGTTGTAACAGGATTCAAAATTCAGGTGTCAGTGAAGAACTTGTGTCTGTTATTTCACCTCTGCCTTTGTGATCTAGGGGCTACCATATTAAGAGAGGGGATATTTGAGATGGGAGAGGAAATCAATAATTTTTATTTAACTTGACTGCCATGTAGCTGGCTAGAAATCTTAAATTTAAACAGACTCTAGCCAGAAATCTATTCAAAGGTAAGAACAGTTACAAAGGAGGGCTTGGAGAGGTGAGGTAAGGAAGCATGAAAATGATACTTCATTTAATACTCATACAATGTATTTGCAACATTTTGGAGTTATAAAGTAAAATAATGAGGATAATGGTAACTAAAGAAAAGCTGAAATTCCAGGAGACAATAACTTACAATGAGAGACTTACCACGTTTCCAATGCTGAGAATATTGCTGCTTTCCAGACTCACTGGATAGTGTTCCAAGGCCAAAAAGTTTATGTTTAGAATTATGCATATAATAAGGAAAAGATCAGTAAATGGGTCCATTATAATCCTACGGACAAACTCTTTCAATTTTAACCAACAGGGAGAACAATCCCAGATCAATAAAGTTTTAGCACGTCTATACCAACAAAATGGGCATCTCTGCCTGGATTTTTCAAGCTCTGAAACTGAAAGAAGAGAAAATTATACATGAGTTAATTGTTTATTTAATCATTAAGCATCTAATTAGTAGAAAATTTTTACTTTTGCAAGCAAAGGGAGGTTATAAACTAGACTTCTGATTTTGAAATAGCAAACAGAAATATTTTGAATTAATGAAAATCAAAGCAAAGTAAATTTCCTCTATTTTGCTCATGTTTGCTGTGTTAAGGCAAATGAAAATGAAAAAATTATGTACTAGAATTAAAATATAGGAGTACTTCTCAAGAAAAACTAATATGGAATATAATTGAGAGTACCATGTTTATAAATTTAGATTTATAGGCTTTACAAAATAATGTCTTTCAATATTATCTATAATAATGATTACTGGTTATATATATATCAAAAGTAGAGACAAGTATAAAAAGAGCCTCAATATGTTAATGTTATATACTCCAACCTGTATTTTTAGTTAAAATACTCATGTCACTTTCAGTGTTAAAGAAAATTCCTTGGCAGTTCTTGGTGGCCTTTTTCAGTGTTTAAAACATTATGCTTATGAAATTTTAAAGTACTGTTAACCCTAATAGTTTCATGTTCTTCCTTAAATTTTAGTTATTATCAACTAAAATTTGGAAGAAACTGGAGGATTTCTTAAAAGTGAGTTATAAAAATGATACCTTTCATCAAGTCCAAATATTTTTTACTTTACCTTCTTTATGGTTGATAGTAGCATCATCCGATGCATCCAAAGAAGTAATCACAGAAGTTGATGATCTTTTCTTCATTTCTATCTGTATGGTCTTGGTCTAAAAAGAAATTTGATGAGTCTAATTCTGGCTTCTCCCCTTTGTAGATTCAAGATTATAGCTATAAGAAGGTTTATAACCTTCTCAAAAATGCCAATTCTTACTTCCAAAAACCTTTCTGGGTTCCATAATTGGCCACTTTTTACACTATAGTTACTTTTTTGGGGGGAGGGGTGCTGTATGGCATGAGAGATCTTAGTGCCCCAACCAGGGATCAAACCACTGCACTTGCAGTGGAAGCACAGAGTCCGAACCACTAGACTTTCAGGGAAGTCCCACTATATGTACTATTAAACTGACAGGATTATTTGGGAAATACATGTGCATTACTTGTAAGTCAACCAAATCACTTTATACTATGAGGTAAACTATAAAAGGAGTAAACTAGAGAATGTTAGTGCTATTACCCATATTTGACAAAGAATTCAATGTCCAGTTTAGAATTATTGTGGAACATCCAGTTGGCAGATATGCTACTGAATATTAGCTGCTACTGAATATTAACACCTTACATTTCTCTAACACCTTATATTTTTTTACTTGAAGATGTGTTAACTACGACTTCGTAAACACTCTTGATTAAATCAAATTATTTGGTGTTGAGATGATAGAATATGTCTCATGTAATATCAGGTAACAGAATGAATTTTAAAGGATGGGTCTGATTAGAACACACATAATAATCCCAAAAAGAAATCATTTCTTTCTGTCCCTCTTGTCTCTTGTATAATGGTTTTAAGACATCCTGTTTTGCTGATAACAAAGTTTAAAAGAACCCTTACATTGGAAAGGCGATCAAAACACTTAAGGTTGTGATGTAGGTATTACAAGTTCTACATATTCATGATGATCACAAGTATGGCCCCAGAGGTTTCTAGTGATCATGAGTAAATTTTGTTTTTGAATTTAAACTGTAAGTAACTGACAAGGGGTAGATGATATCACACCATAGAACTCCCAACGATTTTTACATTCGGCACACACGAAGAATAATATTTCTATGTTTGTTAATTTGGTAAATAGGTGAGCCTAATAGGTGAAATAGTGTGTGTTAGTCACACAGGTGTGTCTGACTTTTTGTTACCCCATAGACTGTAGCCCACCAGGCTCCTCTGTCCATGGAATTATCCAGGCAGGAATACTGGAGTGGGAAGCCATTCCGTTCTCCAGAGGATCTTCCTGACCCAGGGATCAAACCGGGTCTCCCGCATTGCAGGCAGATTTCTTTACCATCTGAGCCACCAGTGAATACACTTACATAGGTGAGGTGCCTTTTGAATAAGGATAACTGGCATGGGCACTGAGGGAATTAATGGTTGAGGTTCACTGATAACCCAGAACACTCTGGCAGGCAGGCTCTGCTGTGGTCTATCTGAAGTCCCAGAAGAGATATCAAGGAAATCATCAAATTCATTTCACTCGGTATCAGTCAAGTTCCCCCTAATTTCAAAAATACTAGAGCTCAAAGAGGTAAAAACTAATTCCACTACATACTGAGTTCCATCTGAAAAATGACAGTTTCTTTAAGTCTACAGATCTCTGTTGCTTCACTTTTTTCTTAATTGAAAAAATAAGCATAAGCTCAGGATGCAAAACTAATTTATTGACCTAAACCATGCTTATTCCAGAAAGTATTTTCTTAGCTGACTTACAAGGCTATATAAAATATGTGATAATTTATATAATTCCAAATTTCTATGAGTTAAAATCCAACAGAACTATAATTTTTCTGTTATTAAAGCCCAAGAGGAATTTGCCATGTGTTTCTTCATAAAGATACCCTGTCAAATCGTTAATAATATCCTTCACTATATTCTTAATACTGAGGAATTATTCCTCACAGAGCTGCTTCTGATAGTGACAATGTTTGATGAATTTACATCAAAGAACAATCTGGTAAAGATAACTGTCCATGGTTGGAGGGGCAGTGGAGGGGGGAGGGTAATAATATTATTATTGATACAGTCAAGGCTCAATTCTTTACTGATTAGTTTGAACTGTGGATACATTTGGGCTTCCCAGGTGGTGTGTGGTAAAGAACCCACCTGCCAATGCAGAAGACTTAAGAGATGTGGGTTCGATCCCTAGGTCAAAAAGATCCCCCAGAGGAGAGCAAGGCCAACCACTCCAGTATTCTTGCCTGGATAATCCCATGGACAGAGGAGCCTGGTGGGCTACAGTCCACAAGGTCACAAAGAGTTGGAAACAACTGAAACGACTTAGCATGCACACATGCAAGGATGTATTTTAGGATATGAAATGAACAAACTACATTATCAGTCTAGTAATATATTTACCTCAATTGAGCCTTTCAAAAAATATTGAATAAGTGCCCATAAGTTGGCCAGCTACTAACGATATTGCTATTTTATAATGCAAATTGAGAGGACTATGATGGAAAAAAAATCTCCTTTTTGAAAGTATAAGTGCTAATAAGGGCATATGCCTGAATTTTGGGCAATCCAATGTTAAAATTAGACTGGAAGAAGGGGCTAAGATTCTTCTCAGCACTGGTTTCAATTTTCTCTGGAAGGGAGCTATTAATAAGGAAGAACCCAGTCATACTTCTGGTGTCAAGCAATGAACACCTGGATTGTTCATCTTGGACTCAGGCTCACTCTCCTTACTGAAACCACACTGGCCTATTTCATTCTCTAACTCTAACTCTAACTGACCTATTTCATTCTCTAACTGTTCCTGCCCACCAGAGAGCAAGGATTCATTTTTCAGATCTCAACTCAAATGCCAGGTCTCATAAAAACCTTTTCTGACTCAGAGAAATCCCTCATTAAAGGCTCTCAGAGAACTATGTTTCTCACTTTTATAGCACCTTCCACATTTTCATTTAATTTTTTTAGGGAAGAATAATACTCACCAGGTACCCAATAGGTTGCTTCAACCATTAATGACATTATACTTTCCATTTTTCATGTATTACCCACCCTACTTTTTCCCTGAAGTATTGTAAAACAAATTTCACACATCATAAAATTTCAGGTAAGCTCTTTTAAAAAATAATCACACCACCATTACCAACATCAAGCAAAATTAGCAATTCCTTAATATCCAATACCTAGATCATGCTCAATTTTATTTCATTACTCAGAAACATTCTATCATAGTTAATTTGTTCCAATCAAAATACAAAAAAGGTAAAACTTTTTTCGGTTTGTAGTTCTGTTGGTTATCTTATATCATTTTATTTATCCTACATGATTTGTTAAAAATACTGAATCACTCATAGAATTTTCCACATTCTTAATTTGGCAGATTATTTCTTTTTAGTGTAATTCAATGCATTCTTCTCTTCTATAGTCTCTAGAAAGAGATGGTTAGATTTAGAAGCTTATTAGACAGTACAGATTTTGGCAAGAATATATTGTGGTGTTTTATGTTTCTTATTTAAAAACATCAGGAAACACAATGCTTGGTGGTCCCAGTTACAGATTTGCTATAATAGTTTTATAGTTTATCTCCCCAGTAGACCACTAGCTTCATGAAGATAGACAGTGTATCTGTATTCACTAATTTTTAAATCTCCAATGTTTAATACAAGCCTAATACAGAAAATTATCAATGACATTTTATTTAATTATACATGTAAATTCTAAGATTGTCATTTTAGATGGGGAAATATTTTTTAATACCTACATTCCTACTGTTGTATATATCTGATTCTTTTCATAAGTTTTGCCAATAACTGAGAATTCATAGACAAATTTCACCTAGAAACTGTGTAATTGATGGAATAATAAGGTTTCAGTGTTGATTCTCTAGAACAATGATGAAAAATGTGTTCTCTTTCTCACTGTCAAGAAATCAAATACCTATAAATACAGATTGAATTTTGCAACTGGAACTCCTCAACAAGAATTAAATTGAGAATTTGTGAAGACACTATTTATCTGTCTGGCACATGATGTTGTTGCTCAGTCGCTAAGTCATATCTGACTCTTTGTGACCACATGGATCGCACCATGCCAGGCTTTCTTGTCCTTCACTATCTCCGAGTTTGCTCAAAGTTACGTCCATTGATTGGCGATGCTATCTAACCATCTCGTTCTCTGCGGCTCTCTTCTCCTGGCACATAGCTGACAATAAATATTATATACTATTATTATTACTTTCATTATTATTATTTTAATTATCCCTTTAGGGAGACACAGTCAAAGACGAGAATTTCATATTGAGGAGTATTCTCCATATGGACTGCTATGCCTTCTTGCAGTTGTCTTCTTGTGTTTCCTGTAATTAATCAATACCATTTTTTCAGTTGCTTAGTATACTCTAAGCAGTGCTAAGTGCTTTACAAGCATTTATTTAATTCGAATCTCACAACTTATGACAGATACTATAATATACACCTTACAGATGAAGAACCTGAGGTTTAGAATGGTTAACTTCAGATATGTAGATGATACCACCCTAATGACAGAAAGTGAAGAGGAACTAAAGAGCCTCTTGATGAAGGTGAAAGAGCAGAGTTAAAAAGCTGGCTGAAAACTTAAAATTCAAAAAACAAAGATCATGGCATCCGGTCCCCTCACTTCATAGCACATAGATGGGGAAAAAATAGAAACAGTGACAGGCTTTATTTTCTTGGGCTACAAAACCACTGTGGCTGCAGCCATGAAATTAAAATACACTTGCTTCTTAGAAGAAAAGCTTTGACAAACTTAGACAGCATATAAAAAGCAGAGACATTATGGTCCATATATTCAAAGTTCTGGTTTTTCCAGTAGTCCTATACAGATGTGAGAGTTGAACCATAAAGAAGGCTGAGCACCAAAGAATTGATGCTTTCAAACTGTGGAGCTGGAGAAGACTCTGGAGAGTCTCTTGGACTACAATGAGATCAAATCAGTCAATCCTAAAGGAGATCCACCCAGACTATTCATTAGAAGGACTGATGGTAAAGCTGAAGTCTCAATACTTTGGCCACCTGATGTGGAGAGCCAACTCATTGGAAAGGACCGTGATGTTGGGAAAGACTGAAGGCAGGAGGAGAAGGGGGCGACAGAGGATGAAATGGTTGGATGGCATCACCGACTCAATGGACATGAGTTTGAGCAAACTCCAAGAGATAGTGAAGGATGGGGAAGCGTGGCGTGCTGCAGTCCATGGGGTTGCAAAGAGTTGGACCTGACTGAGTAACAACAACAACGGAAGTTTAACATACTTGGCAAATATCATAAATCTAGTAAGCAGCTAAAATGGACTGAAATCTATATTAGTCTGACTGCAAAACTGTGATGTTAGCCAATATAATCTACTGTTTTCTTGTAATGTGAGAATATGAAACTTATATGCAATTTCCCAGTAATTTCAACGTAGGAATTAGAATTTGCCGAATGTTACATCAGTCACCTAAAGAGTCCTCTCCTCAGTATGTTCCATTTAAAATTCTTCACTCTCCAGCATTTTCTTATGTGTAAAAAAAGGAAAAGAAAATATATCTTGTAAAAATGACTTTTACTCTCATTTTCCCAGGAAACTTTTGAATGACAAAATGTTCTAGTACTCTTCCAGGAAAAGAAATCTTTCATAATTGAAAGACTATTTAAATCCAGAAAGGGTTTATGTGGTCCCGAATAGCCAAATGAATGGACAATTCAATGAATGGAAATTACAAAATACTCTAAGTTCTTCACAAGCAGAGTTAATAGGGCATCTCATCTGAAATAAGAGAAGAATTGTGCTCTTGGATATATCTGTGTGTAGCTCTTATCATTTGAAATGCCACTTCAAAACAAATTATACATTCCACATATCATTCGGACTACAGTCATTCAATCTGTAGGATCTCAGACTCATTTCTAGAGACAGAAAGCTGTGTAATTTATCTGGGACTTCCTCATGAGTGATATAAAGGCTATACTCAATAGCTTCTTTTGATTAATATACATGCTTTCTTCATGCCGTCCACAATTGCTTCTTCTTTCAGTGGTATGCACTGACCTCGTAGATACATGTATCTATCAATAACTTGTCATTTGGTATGATCCTACATTATGTCATTCAGGCCCTCCTTTTTAGTGGAATGACTTTTCTTGAGTTTCTTTACTGATCACAGCTTAATGAGAGAGCTAGTTAATAGAGTTATCATTTTCCCCTTTTGGCCCAGCAGAGGCCTTTCCACACATGCCAGAGTGAATCATGGCCCTTTTCCTCATTTTTTTTTTTTTATCTTTTCTACATGAGGGATAAGCAAGATACAGTTCTTTTCCATCCTTTGCTCCCTCAATTCTGTCCTTTTTACATCCACTAGAAAATGTAGTTCAAACACTTCTTCCCATGTAGACAGTCTTCATTAGCAAGGGCCAAGAGTGAAAATAGCGACAAACCCAGAGGGAGGGAAGAGAAGGCAAGGCACTGCTCCCTTCCCACAAGTGAGGGCCCTGTAATCAGGTCAGTGGGTCGGAGCACTGGACTTGCTTGTGACCCCGCTGGGCTGAGCACCTTCCAACGGACAAACTCTGAGGCAGCGGGGCACCTCACAGCACCGGGGAAGGAGCAACACCTCAGAAGAGGCGTGAGCTCCACCCCTCAGGCTGCTCTGGCCCCTGCCCACCACACACCTGGACAGCTCTGGGGAGGGATACGAGGCGACTCAGCTAAGCCTAGGAAGAGGCGTGAGACAGCCAGGTCCTGTGGAATATAAGAGAGCTGCTTCTGGTTGCTTTCTGGGGCTTGTTCTCCCTTTTTGCACACTTAGAGCAGAATTTAGATTTTTTTTAAAGATAATTTTCTACAACTTTAATATTACTCCTGCCAATACTTTTAGATTCATAGACCAGATCTTTTGCTATGAAGCTAAACATCTAAAAGTACATTCAAATGGAATACCAGGGTAATTGAAAATCAGAGTAAAACTGTATTAAGTTTTACTTATCATGAACTTAATTACTGCACAGATAACTTCTTATGCCAGGATGGACAGTGCATTTCCTCTTGAAAGAGCCAGAAAGTCAATATTTTTTTTCTCTTTTTACAACTTCACTACTATACTTTGATCCATGCTTTTAGTACTTTCTAGCTTCTAAATTGTGGAAGGTGCTATCACTTTTGAGTTGAACACTGAAAATTTCCAAAGTCAATTCTGATGTTCTGTAGGAAGTAAGTTTAAATTAATAAACTAAGCCTGCATTACGAGGAAAAAAAAAGTGTGTATTTTGTTACGAGAAGTTCAGATACATATATACATATATATATATATATATACACCCGTAGTTTATTATATATATAATATATTTTATATAATATATACTGTATATATATATTGGAGAAATCAATGGCAACCCACTCCAGTACTCTTGCCTGGAAAATCCCATGGACAGAGGAGCAACTTCACTTTCACTTTTCACTTTCATGCATTGGAAAAGGCAATGGCAACCCACTCCAGTGTTCTTGCCTGGAGAATCCCAGGGATGGTGGAGCCTGGTGGGCTGCCGTCTATGGGGTCGCACAGAGTCGGACACAACTGAAGTGACTTAGCAGTAGCAGCAGCAGTGTATATATATACATATATATATATACATCCATAGTTTATTAGCAGTAGTAATTAGCATTTTGGAACAAAAATACTGTATACATTAAGTGACCAAAAAATGTTGGTCACTCTTACCACACCACACTCAGAAAAGAATGTTATGTAGGAAAAGTCAGCCCTTTTACTAAAATCACTTATGATCTTATCATGTACCACACATAGATAATGAACATCTAGTAGAACACATATGCTCCAAGACTTGAGAAGATACATTTTGACTCTAAAAGAGCATTAAAAAAAATCTATACCTCTGCTGTTATTTTTTCTTCTTGAAGTTCTGGTAAAGACTTCTGAAATTCCTGATCAATCTTAGATTTCTCAGTAGCTGTCTGCTTTTCTTCTTCATAGGATATAGCAAGTAAGCCTAAGAACAAACTTGCCATATAAAAGGCAAACCAAAAACTTATCACAACAAAAAATATCATGTAGACCTTCCCAGAAGCATAAAGGATCTAAGGAGAGGTGGAAAAAAGACAGAGAGGAAATGTTATTTGTTTTACTGTGATCTCTTATTTTAAAATGAAAAAAAAAAAAAGAAATTTTGTTAGAATTTAGTTACAAGTGGAATGCAATTACAAGACAGTTAAAGTACTGGCTTTACCTGGAGAAATAAGTGAAAAGCTCTTTAACTTTAGACACATATGTAAGATAAAAAATAATCGTACAAAATCAGGGAAGAATTTAGTAATTTAATTCAGGGTGAGCATTTGATGTTTTTGTCTTCATTAACAGATCAAACATAATGAAAGGAAAAATTGTCATCTTTCAATAAAGAAAGCTGGATAGTCCGAATATGAATGATTGTTTCCTTTGCAATAGAATCTTTAAATATATGAAGTGTAATAAAGTCAAAGGATGAGTGTCTGGATATTACTTTCTTTGGATCATTACTTTATGGAAACATCACAACAAAGTACAAGATCATGTCTGTTCAGAGAGAGGAGGAACAGAAATATTTGATTATCTGTCAGGATACTTGCTTTTGTGAAGAACCTCTACACAAATCACCTCGGAAAGTCATATAATTCACATATACTAAGTCATTTATGGATATAGATGCATGCTTCCCTTGTGGTTCAGACAGTAAAGAATCTGCTTGCAGTGCAGGAGGCACGGGTTCAATCCCTGGGTTGGGAAGGTCCCCTGGAGGAGGGCATGGCGACCTACTCCAGTATTCTAGCCAGGAAAATCCCCATGGACAGAGGAACCTGGCGGGCTACAGTCCGTGGGGTCACAAAGGGTCAGACAAGACTGAGACACTAAGCCCTGCACACGTGTGCTAAGCTGCTTCAGTCGTGTCTGACTCTGTGACCCTACGGACTGTATCCTGCCAGGCTGCCCTGTCCTAGGGATTCTCCAGACAAGAAAACTGGAGTCGGTTGCCATGTCCTCCTCCAGGGGATCTTCCCAAGCCAGGGATCGAACCTGCATGTCTTATGTCTCCTGCATTGGCAGGCAGGTTCTTTACTATTAGTGCCACCTGGGAAACCCCATTTATGTATAGAAAAATACAAAGTAGTAGATCTCTAAACTGAGCATCGACCGGCTTTTATTTCAAAATAATTACCTAAGATATATCGGAAAATTGAAAAATTTATAAGTAGATATTACAAATCCAAAATACAGTGCACTGATCTATTGTCACTGATTACAAATAGATGAACAAATTTCAGGAAAACATATGGGAAAAGTTTTCACTTTTAAGCATTCATTTGAATCAATAGACAAGTATTACTTACAGAAAATATTGTGCTGACATGTTAAGAATGTTTACAAATTAACAGGAAGTTCTAACATTTAATCAGAAATAATTTCTTACTAATCTATAGTATATTTTCCTTTAACAGTATTTTTAATAAACTCTATTATCCAAGTGAATAAGCTATTTAGGATTTGGTTAAATATTTTCCCCACTAAATAGCTGTTATCCACAATACATTCAAAAGTCAGTATTAGATATCATGAGTATTGTAGGATATACACATTAATAAGTACTTTATGTTTGTTATTTCCTTAATTCCATGTAAAACATTTACATTGTATTTACCATGTAGAAAGGAGATGAAATTAGATAACGATCTCACAGCTGTGGGGAAATGCCTGAATCTAAAATTTTTGCTCTTTTCACTAAATGAAGCTGAATGAGAATAAAAGCATACAATCTTATTGGAATGAAAAAGTGTGCAAATTCAAGTTTTATTGTATTTTAGCAGAAAACAGGGGCTAATTATAGCCTGTTTACCATATATTTTTATGAAAATCAAATGAAACAATGTATGAGAAGATCTTAGCTCATGGCAAGTATGTGATAAACGTGAACTATGATTGAATATAACCCCATTCCATGAGAACTGACAACCTGCTTTGTTCATTTCTGTACCAATGCTACATCAGAGTACTTGGATTAAATAATGCTTGTTTAATGAATGGGGAATTCTATTCTCCAAAACACAAGCTGTACTCTTTGGGAATAACTGTTGAATTTACCTAGTCATGGTTCAATAGAGCAGTGCTGAGTAAAAAATTTAGTCCAAATCAAAGCAAACCTTATCTATACTAGTCAATAAAATTCTAGAGTGCAATAATGATGAAGGTCTTGAAAGACTCCAGAATCAGGGCACTCCCAGACTGATTTCTCATTTCCCTGGTGTGTGATGGGATTTCTTTTAAACCATTGCTAACAAGTAAATTAACTTATACACTTTGAAAGCTGTAAAAAAAGGCAAGACATTCACTATTATATAAAGTAAACAATTCATAAATATTCACTTAAATTTTTTGTTTATTAAAATTTTATTAAGCATTTCTATATGTTAGATGCTGAGAAGACAAAAATTAAAATAAAACAAAATACTTCTTAGGCCGTTTATCTCCTAGTGGGCAGAAATACTGAATAAGCAAATATGATTGCAGAGACTATATCTTAAAGGACACCATGGACCATGCATTTGGACACTGAACTTCATCCTATAGACATCTGGAAATCACTGGAGGATTTTGAAGAGGATAACATGGTAAGATTAGTTCAGAAATAAGAAGTTCCTAGTGTTGTGGAGGAGGCATGATACTTGTTAAAAAGTTTGACAAATAACAATATACTACTCTTTCAAAATTAGAAAAATATAGTTTGCATAAAGAAAACAATCACTTGTAATATTTTAAGTACTTCTACTAGAAACATAATTTTCCTACAAGCATGTTTGGTTTACTTGATTTTCATTTAATAATATATTATGAATCTTTGTGCTAAAAATATATTACCTTATTCTTATCATTATTAATGGCCTATAAACATACACATATGCACATACACACCATAATTTATCTATTCAATCATGAAAAGTACAGTACATGTGTGTTTAAAAAGAGTATTCTTCAACTGCACATACTTTTGGAATTTAATTATTTTATCTAACATCTTTTGATATTAACTATGCTGCTGATAAACACTGCATATTCCACTTTTCTTAAAAGAAAAGCTGAATCTACATTTTTAATGAGTATATATTATATCCTTCTGAGAAACTATGGCACACAAATCATCAGTTATGAAAGGAGAATCAGAATTTTTATTTAAAGTCTCATAACAGTAAGCTTTCTGTTACTATAACTGGAGCATGACTGACTATTAAAAGAGGATGAGAAGAAATAGAAGAATTAAAAAGAAATAGTACATTGTAGGCATGATCTTTAGTTTCAGCATGTGAATTCTTAGTTGCAGTACACGGGGTTCCTTGACCAGGGATCAAGTTCACTCCCCCTGACTTGGGAGCTCAGAGTCTTAGCCACTGGACCACCAGGGAAGTCCCAACAATTTCTTAACAGATGGTAATCTCATAGGTTCAAATTTTTTGTCTGAAGAATTAGCACCTAGAAATGCTCTCTAGTTAATGTCAAATCTATAAGACCACAGAGTAGTACACTGATCGCTGGTAGATACATGTGTTTTAACTTTGGGGAAGTTATCTGACTGCTTTGATCTTAGGGTCTTCATGTAAAAGCATATGCACAGATTTATATCCTGACCTTGTAAGACTGTTTCAAAGATTAAATAAGATGCCAATACATAAGAACACTAAAGTGTTTACATACAGTTTGACATCGAATAATTCTACTTTCTTCTGGTCTCAAATTCTTCTCCACACAAAAATTTAATAAAGTACATTACATTTGTTCATTATTTTAGAAAGGAGGAACATGGCATCATTCTTACGTGCAGTGCAGATTCTCTGTGTTCTTACCTGGTGATAAAGTGCTTCAGGGTAATCCTGCATCATTAACCGAAATAAAGCTAATAAGGCCCAGCCAAAGCTGTCAAAATTTGTGTAGCCATCATCAGGATTTACACCAGCTTTTACACACACATATCCTTCAGGACACTGACTAATTAAGATGAAGAAAAGAAAAACTGCTTACTCTTAGGTGACTTTCAGATCAAGGTTAAATCACAAATTCAGAACATCTACCCATGAATAATAAAGGGCTCCCTCTTTCATGGGGCATAGTCTTCTCCCAAACAATTCCCAGTGAAAAAAAGTTGCATATGAGTTAGATTTTCAGCTGATATAAGTGAACAGCATTAGTTAAGCTAAAAGACAACAGGGACTCACAAATGGTTTTTGCCAAGTCTTTGTTAAAGATTTCTTTACTACCCAAAATCAAAGTGAAAGTATAACTGGTGGAAAATGACATTAATAAAAATAAAACTGTAGTAGTTGAGAGTTTAATTTTTAAATGATCTCACCTCAAACCCTTAGATACCATTATTTAAAGAGTGAGAAAACATTGTTCATCAATAATTTATAAGCAGTAATGGCACTTTGGTAGAAAGATCAGATTAAATATTTATTTCATTTCCTTTCATGGAGTCTTCATAATTTTACCTACTAGGGCTTGGTTCTTGTGGTCCATTATGAAAGTAGTGGCCCAATAAATCATGCTTCTTCTCTCATCACCTCTCTGTAGTTCCCTCCCACATTATTGGAGCTTTGGCCATGTGACTTGCTTTACATATTTGTTAATGGCTAACAAATGTGATACAAACAGAGGTTTAAAAACTACTTGGTGTTGAGGCTTGCTAAATCGCTGACCTATAGAGTCTGAACAGATGAATTTTTGTTCTTGTCTTAAAACACTAACTTTTGGGATAGTTTATCATACGGCAAAGTATAATGGCTGCAGATGAAACACTGACATTTTCTTCTGGGCTTGATATACTATATCATTGTCATTCTCACCATCCCTGACTTGGTATCTTGAACATGCATTTCACGTCAGATCTAGTTTGGAATGTCCACAGAAAGGTTTAGCTCGAGTGGGATGGGGCATTCACAGTGAGATGGATTCACAATCTGGACTTGAAAATAGACTGGGAGCCCAGCAGTAAAGAGGTAAAAAGGTTGAATAAGCAATGAAATGTCTAAATCACCTTGTATATGCTGTTGCTTCAGTCCTGTCCGACTATTTGTGACCCTATGAACTATAGCCTGCCAGGCTCCTCTCTCCAATCCTCTTGCCTGGGATTCTCCAGGCAAGAATACTGGAGCAAGTTGCCATTGCCTACTCCAGGGGATCTTCCTGACCCAGGGATTGAACCGAGTTCTTTTTTTTTTTTTTTAAGTGGAGTGCAGTTTATTACACTGGCGGGCCCAAGGCACAGTCTCCTCTTAGCCAAGGGCTCCGACCAGCATTGGTGAAAATCTTTTATACCCCATGTGTACCTGTCCAAACCCACCACCCCAGATCCCTTGAGGCTTACAAAGGAAGGGTAAATACAATCACAATAACCCCATCATTCACATGTTCTGTGTTCAAACAGTTAATAATCAATAAGCCTGCGGTTACATTCCAATCAGTTAATAACCGATAAGCCTGTGGTTACATTTCAATAGATACTGTCCGGAGGCAGGGGTGATTAGTGTCTGTTTTCTCTTCTTCAAGATTCCCCTGCCCAGAGGGGGGTCTTATCCTTCCATTGTCATTCCCACAGGCGCTAAGCACAGAGTTCAGAGTCCACTGGAGAGGTGGCCGCGCATGACCAGTACGGACAGGCCTGAGATGGTTGGCAGGCGAGTTCTTTACCACCAGCGCCACCTGAGAAGCCCCCTGTGTGTGTGTGTGTGTGTGTGAGTCACTCAGTCGTGTCCGACTCTATGCAATCCCATCAAATGTAGCCTACCAGACTTCTCTGTCCATGGGAGTCTTTGGGCAAGAATACTGGAATGTATCGCCATGCCCTCCTCCAGGGATTGAACCCAGGTCTCCTGAAAGAGTGTCGGGTGGACTCTTACCATGTCAGCCACAGGGGAAGCCTCTGGGAAGCCCCCTAAATCGCTTTAATAGGACTAAACCACATAACTCATTCCCCTGCCCCTATGCGCTTTTTCTCTATCTCAGGCCCAGAGCCTCTAAGAACTGAGTCTCAGATGGATGTCAAGTCATTCTAGTTGAGGAAAGTAACACAAGGAATTAATCCATTCTACTGCTGAGAAGCACTCTATTTCAACTTTATCTCGTCATCTGAAATTAAAAGAAAATAAAAGTTTTTCCAATAGTCATGTATGGATGTGAGAGTTGGACTATAAAGAAAGCTGAGCACCAGAGAATTGATGCTTCTGAACTGTGGTGTTGGAGAAACTCTTGACAGTCCCTTGGACTGCCAGGAAATGCAACCAGTCCATCCTAAAGGAAATCAGTCCTGAATATTAATTGGAAGGACTGATGCTGAAGCTGAAACTCCAATACTTTGGTCACCTGATACGAAGAACTGACTCACTAGAAAAGATCCTGATGCTGGGAAAGATTGAAGGCAGGGGGAAAAGGGGACGACAGAGGATGAGATGGTTGAATGGCACCACTGACTCAATGAACATGAGTTTGAACAAGCTCCGGGAGTTGGTGATGGACAGGGACGCCTGGAGAGCTGCAGTCCATGGGGTGGCAAAGAGTCAGACATGACTGAGCAACTGAACTGAACTGAAGACTTGAGAGTTTTGTCATCTCACTGAAGAATTATTTTAAATCCTATTGTTGTTTAGTTGCTAAGTCATTTCTGACTCTTTTGAGACTCCATGAGGCCCACTAGGTTCCCCTGTTCATGGGATTTCTCAGGCAACAATACTGGAGAGGGTTGCCATTTATTTCCTCCTTCAGGGGATCTTCCTGACCCAGGGATCAAGCCAGCACCTCCTGCACTGGCAGATGGATTCTTTACCACTAAGCCATTAGGTTCCCGTCAGCTGCCATAACTCCAAGAACTGGTCTCAAGGAAATTGAAACCAACCAACCCTGGATCCGAAGATTAATCATAGTTAAAACAATCAACAAGATGCTGGTCAGACCATGGAGGACCGATTTCAAGATGACTGTCAGCTGACTGTGCTGTTTCTGCATGTAGCTCCCTCCCTCTTGCCCCCTGATTGTCGGGGCAGATGGAGAGTCAGCCTTTGAACATTTGTCTACCCTCCCCTCAGTTGCTAGCATCTAAAATAAAGCAAACTTTCCTTTTCACTAAATGGCCTCTTATTGGCTTTTGAGCAGTGAAGAGCCCAACTCCATTCTCCATTACAGTACAGACTTGATAGAAGAAAACATTAACACCACTTACCTAGCATCTGATCTGTTGCCACAAAGAAGAGCATATCTTTCTCCTTCCAAATAATAAAAGTTTTCTGTTTCTGAAAAAATATGAAAGACATGATATTTTGTATCTAATTTTGGGTGAACAGCATTTATCTAAAACCCAATTACAAAAAAAAAAATTTTTTAAAATAAATAAATAAAACCCAATTACATCTGTACAGATGAACATCCTTCTCTACAGTAAGAAGGAATGAGTTTGTAGCCTACCATTTTCTCTCAACCTAGGAGGCTTTGGTCATATTTATTTATTTTTGAAATGATAAAATTTGTGAGTTTTAGCAATTTCAAACTTTGGTTTCCCTGACATAACTGTCTGAAGACTTGGAACTTTATCATCCTGATAAAGGAAACTGATCCAAATTAGTACTTGAGCATAGTTAGGTATTTGCATAAAGATTGTTCTGAAGTTGAATTTGTTCTGAAATTGAAGGTTCGACATTTCTGTGAAGAATGCATTTTGATACAGATGGCAACGGATTCTTACCTCGAATATAATATGGGTTTCCAGTTCTGTTACTCAGCATGTCAGTTTCATTTTCTTGGGGCCATCGCAAGCATTTATGTTTCAGATTGCCCATGAAGAGCCCCATCCCAATTAGAGAAAATACACTCAGAAAAAAGAGAGTTAGGATAATGACCACAGCGAGTTTCTTCAAACAATGGATGAGTATCCCTACAAAAGACTTCATTCCTGAAAAGAGAAAGGCTTGTTTTTGGCAAAATAAAATACCTTAGTAAAGCAGCATTAGCAAACTTCTCCCATGGCGAATGCAGATCCATTGAAATCAATAGCTTTGTGTTTTATAATTTCATTTATCATTATCTAGATCCGATAAATAAAAGAAATAACATACGAAACTTTGAGATTTCTGTATTATTGCTAATTTATTACACCTGGCAATAATTCAGACACTCTTTAGTACTTTTACTTTTTTGTTTTATTTCTTTTTACTACATAAAGAACAGGCCTCCTCTCTTGGTTACTGTTTTTCATACTAATCACCATTATTTATAAGCACAGGTAAAGGCACAGAGTTACAAATCAACATGGGTTGCAAATGTTGTTGAAAAAAGAAATAGTTTGAGATAGCAGTATTCTATACATTTTTATTATTTTTTATGACCTCAATTTTTGAAGCTCATTAAATAAAACATGAAAAAATTTTATGAATAGAAATGGAATAACATACAAGTGTGGTTATATGTCACTGTATTTATACCAGAATACTTGTTAACTAAGAATTCAACTTCAATGTTAGTTTTACTTAAGGACACTCATTTTTCTAACTATTAAATAATACATGCTCAATTCAGAAAATATAGAAAGTAAGAAGAAACAACAAAAACCCCTTAATTACACTTCATAGATGAAACTACCATAACTCTTCTTTCCTCCAATAATGGACAAAAATATACCAACTTCATGATGTTGAGCAAGTTACCAACATTTTACAGTTTCTGTTTAATTATTTTTAAGGGAGTATAAATATACTTATTTCATACATCATTGTGAGAACTGAAAATCTATTTTTTTAAAATGACATCCTCAGATGATTAGATTTCTTGAGTGTAATAGAATAGGGTTGAAATAAAGTTATTAGAAAAGAGAGTCCTGAAATAAAACTAACTTTAAAATACTTGGGTGCAATCTCAAAAAGAACAGAATGATCTCTGTTTGTTTCCAAGGCAAACCATTCAATATCACGGTAATCCAAATCTATGCCACAACCACTCAAGTTGAAGAAGCTGAAGTTGAATGGTTCTATGATGACCTAGAAGACCATCTAGAACTAACAACAAAAAAAGATGTCCTTTTCATCGTGGGGATTGTAAAGAAAAAGTAGGAAGTCAAGAGATACCCGGAGTAACAGGCAGTTTGACCTTCGAGTACAAAATGAAGCAAGGCAAAGGCTAGCAGAGTTTTGCCAAGAGAACACACTGGTCATAGCAAACACCCTCTCCCAACAACACAAGAGACGACTCTACACATGGACATTACGAGATGGTCAACACTAAAATCAGATTGATTATATTCTTTGCGGCTGAAGATGGAGACTAAACAGTCAGCAAAGACAAGACTGGGAACTGACTGCGGCTTAAATCATAAACTCCTTATTGCAAAATTCAGACTTAAATTGAAGAAAGCAGGGAAAACTACTAGACCATTCACATATGACCTAAATCAAGTCCCTTATGATATACAGTGAAAGTGACAAATAGATTCAAGGGGTTAGATCTGATAGAGTGCCTTAAGTATTATGCATGAAGGTTCATGACATTGTATAGGAGGCAGTCATCAAAGTCACCCCCAAGAAAAAGAAACAAAACAGCAAAATGATTGTCTGAGGAGGCCTTACAAATTGCTGAGAAGAGAAGTGAAAGGCAAAGGAGAAGAGGAAAGACATATCCATCTGAATGGAGAGTTCGAAAGAATAGCAAGGAGAGAAAAGAAAGCCTTCCTAAGTGATCAATGCAAAGAAACAGAGGAAAACAATAGAATGGGCAAGACTAGAGATCTCTTCAAGAAAATCAGAGATACCAAGTATTGGTCCTTTAATGGACCAGAACCTGGTGGTCCGGAGTCGATGACGAGAAAGTGAAAGAAGGAAAGAGGCTAATTATTCCCTGGGTTATGCAGCCAGCTTTCGCGCTCCAGGGAATCAGCCAGAAAAAGAGAGATAAAGAGAAAGAAAGAAAGAAAGAAAGACACGGGGATGAAAGCTCTGATGGAGCAAAGGTGTTTTAATCAACATGGCATGGGCATATATACTGTAGTTATTCTCAGCAAAGATAAAGATTAAAATTTCAGACTTAAAAAAACACAAGGCGATCCCTATTAAAGAGAGAAGAGGGTACTTACCATCATAATGAGAAACTAACAAAGGAAATGCCTGGATTCCTCAGCCCAGGGAAAGGCGTGCCTCTCCTCTTAATTTCTGAATATTCATGAATCAATAAGAGCCAAAGGTTTCCTGACAATCCATAACAGCACACAGGAAGCCTCCTGTTAGATGCTTCCTGACAACCAAGGGAACATTTCATGCAAATATGGGCACAATAAAGGACAGAAATGGTAAGGACCTAATAGCAGCAGAAGATATTAGGAAGAGGTGGCAGAAACACAGAAAAACTACACAAAAAAAGATTTTAATGACCCAGATAACCACGAAGCTGTGATCACTCACCTGGAGCCAGACATCCCAGAGTCAGAAGTCAAATGGGCCTTAGGAAGCATCACTATGAACAAAGTTAGTGGAGGTGATGGAATTCCAGCTGAGCTATTTCAAATCCTAAAAGACGATGCTGTGAAAGTGCTGCACTCAATATGCCAGAAAATTTAGAAAACTCAGCAGTGGCCACAGAACTGGAAAAGGTCAGTTTTCATTCTAATCTCAAAGAAGGGCAATGCAAAAAAAAATGTTCAAACTACTACATAATTGCACTCATCTCACACAGTAGCAAAGTAATGCTCAAAATTATCCATGCCAGGCTTCAACAGTACATGAAAGGAAACTTCTAGATGTTCAAGCTGGATTTAGAAAAGGCAGAGGAAGCAGAGATCAAATTGCCAACATCTGTTGGATCATCGAAAAAGCAAGAGAATTACAGAAAAAACATCTACTTATGCTTTATTGACTATGCCAAAGCCTTTGACTGTGTGGATCACAACAAACTGTAGAAAATTCTTCAAGGGAAGGGAATAGCAGACCACCTTGCCTGCTTCCTAAGAAATCTGTATGCGGGTCTAGAAGCAATAGTTAGAACTGGCCATGGAACAACAGACTGGTTTCAAATAGGGAAAGGAGTACATCAAGGCCATATAGTGTCACCCTGCTTATTTAACTTATATGCAGAGTACATCATGCAAAATGCCGGGCTGGATGAAGCACAAGCTGGAATCAAGATTGCTGAGAGAAATATCAATAACCTCTGATATGCAACAGATAGCACCCTTATGGCAGAAAGTGAAAATAAACTAAAGGGTCTCTTGATAAATGTGAAAGAGGAGAGAAAAAAATTGGCTTAAAACTCACCACTCAAAAAACTAAGATCATGGCATCCAGTCCCATCAATTCCTAGCAAATAGATGGGGAAACAATGGAAACAGTGACAGACTTTATTTTGGGAGGCTCCAAAATCACTGCAGATGGTGATTGCAGCCATGAAATTAAAAGATGCTTGCTTCTTGGAAGAAAAGTTATGACCAACCGAAACAGCATATTAAAAAGCAGAGACATTACTTAGTCCACAAAGGTCTGTCTAGTCAAAGCTCTGCTTTTTCCAGTAGTCATGTATGGATGTGAGAGTTGGACCATAAAGAAGGCTGAGAGCAGAAGAACTGATGCTTTTGAACGTTGGTGTTGGAGAAGACTCTTGAGAGTCCCTTGGATTGCAAGGAGATCAAACCAGTCAATCCTAAAGAAAATCAGTCTTGAATATTCATTGGAAGGACTGATGCTGAAGCTAAAGCTCCAATACTTTGGACAGGTGATACAAAGAACTGACTCACTGGAAAAGACCCTGATGCTGGGAAAGATTGAAGGCAGGAGGAGAAAGGGATGACAGAGAATGAGATGGTTGGATGGCATCAAGGACTTGATGGACAGGAGTTTGAGCAAGCTCTGGGAGTGGTCATGGACAGCGAAGTCTGGCATACTACAGTTCATTGATTGCAAAGAGTCAGACATGACTGAGTGACTGAACTGACTGAAAGTTACTCCTGTGATTAAAGAAATGTGATACCTAGAATAAATATATAATTTTAATTGCTATCATCCTAAAATACATATTTATAGCTACTTTGGCCACTTGGAATTATACTATGAATTGTTTTGCTATAAGTCTTTTTAAAGTATTACATTAAAAATGGAATTTCTGTGTCACAGTATATGAGATATTTAAGTATTAATTCATATGTTCAAATTTTTTTAAAGAGTATTTGAACCAATGCATAAACCAAAGACTATAAATATATAATCATGCCTTTACTAAAGGTAGGACATTTAAAAAAAATCACTGCCAGTTTATTAGAAGAAAAATGGGACATTTTAATTTGATATTATTGCCATGATCACCATAAATATCTTTTAAAATATGTGTATTTGCACAGTGTATTTTTATTTGGTCACTGTCATGAGTCCTGTGTATATTTTGTATTGAAAAAAATTTTCACATTGTTTTGTTGAAATTAGGAATGGAAATTCTTAAATATAATTATGAAGGTATGTGTGTATATAAACATAAACTCATGCAAATATTTTATTAATAATAGTGATATTATAGAATATATATAAATTAAAGTATACATATACATATATAACTACAAAATATTTTTATTAATATTACTATGACATAAATCTATTCTATACAGAATATATATAATCAAGCTTCTTATGGAGCTTTTAGTGTCAACATTTTAATCGATGATAAAAAGAAGTCACCATCACACTTTATAGACTCAAATTTATTAGTAATTTTCACTGCTATCTTCCATCCATTGCTATCTACCATTCAAAGCTTTGAACCATATGTCAATTTTGATTTTGATTTCCTGGTATAACTTTTTCCTTCTTTTTACTTTTAAACTTTCATTTTGTTTTAGTTTAGGTGTATCTTTTGTGGATTCTAACTTATTTCTGATTTAATTTTAAAGTCTATATATGTCTTTAATTAATTAATTTTTACTTCTGGCTCCGCTGGGTCACTGATTCTGCACATGGGTTTTCTCTAGTTACGGCGAGCAGCGGGCTACTCTTCAGCTGTGATGCATGGGCTCAGCTGCCCAGTGCCGTCTAGGATCCTCCTGGACCAGGGATCGAACCAAAGTCCCCTGCGTTGGCAGGCAGATTCTTAACCAGCACTTGGACCCCAAAGAAGCTCAAGTCTCTACATCTTGACAGACACTTTTAACTCAATCATGTTCACTTTTATAAACTGGCTTATACATTATGCCTTAGAGTACATTTTTAAAAGGAAAAAGGATTATTTTCATTCTCTTGAATAGTGTGTTTTTCCCTTCTTCCTTGTTTTCATACACACTGTATTACCAGTATGTGCCTTGGTTGTTTTCTCCTTTGAAAAAAAAATAAGAGCAATTCGTACCAGCCTGTATGCTCCCAAGTCTAGTTACTGTATTCTACTTGGATTTACCTGAATTCTTCTATAATCTTTACCTCTAATTCTAAGATGAAGATGAAGGTGATACAACTTATGTTCCAGTGATTTGTGGAGAGCAGTAAAAGAACTAAGACTGCGGAAATTCCTGCAAGGACATTTCTTGCTGCTGGTTCCTTCACTGTGCTTGGTGAAGCTACCATGTCACAGACCATTTTTATCAAACAGGTTTATTGAGATAGAATTTATGAACCATACAAGTCACTTGTTTAATGTATACTATTCAATGTTTCAGTATATCCACAAGTGAAGTGAAGTCGCTCAGTTGTGTCTGACTCTTTGCAACTGCATGGACTGTAGCCTACCAGGCTCCTCCATCCATGTGATTTTCCAGACAAGAATACTGGAGTGGGTTGCCATTTCCTGCTCCAGCCAATCTTCCTGTCCCAGGGATTGAACCCAGGTCTCCAGCATTGTAGGCAGACGCTTTGCCGTCTGAGCCACTAGGAATGTCATATCCACAACCGTAAGGCATCTATTATCACATTTCCCTAATGTTTTTGCTGTTTTGTCCAGCCTGGACTCCAAGTACAGAGTATGCATACATCTGGCCTTCTTCATGATGTTCCAGTGGATGAACGTTGTTTGCAGATCTTACTTTTGATGTTATCACACTAGCTCGTGGGTTTATTCATTCAACTATTTGATAAAACTTCTGACTCATAACAGCCAAAAAAAAAAAAAAACTCTGAGTGAAGTTTTCCTATCTTATTGTTTTTATTCATTCTGAACAACAAATCAGAAGGTATTAGTAGGCTTCCCTAAGACATACTCAGGAATGGGATGTGTAAATTACTCCTCAGCATCTTTCATCAATGTGGTCATGGTCGTACACTATTTAACAGAACCTTCTTGAATGTTGTGGCATGTGGAATACATCCTATCCAAGCACTGAGAGTAAAAGGGTACTTATCTTATTTTATATAACTTTGTTCATTTCAACTGGCTTTTAGATTCAATGAGGAAAAGAAGAGGATGGATTACATAACTGTCTGGACTGCTAATTCATTCAGAAGTCTAAGGACAATTTTGGTATTTCATATTTAAGACATAAAATTAAAGAAATAAGAAAAAATAGAGAAGTAACATGCTTTGATTGAGCTCTACATTTTGTTATCATAAGCATTGAAACCACTTCAAATAAGTAACAAATGTGGTATTTTTTTTCCTTTCGATTCTAGGAGTGACAAATACATTTGATATTTGATCTGATATTCATTTATATCAAAGATGAAACATTGTTTAACTTAACATTTCTCCAAGCAATGGCAGGGCTGTTCAAATGAATACATGGAAGTACATAAAGCAAAATGAAGACAAAGAACTCGATGCTTTTTCTTACCTTGGTTTAAAGGAATAATTTTCAAAATTCTCAAATTTCTCATAATTCTAAATAATGAAGTGAAATTCAGAGGTGAATATCTTGAAATATGCCTGTGGAATTAAAGTCATTTAGAAATCATATTGAGTTTATGTTACTGACATTTGACTTTTTATAATATTTGAAGCTTGTTTCTAAAACCAGACATCCAAATGTTCCCTTGCTTACATTATTGCATTTTGCAAATAGCTTTATTATTGATTGGAAGGGAAAGATTTCTACCATGCAATGTAATCAAGTAAACATTAATCTACAAATTATGAGCATTTATTAAAAGCTTGACACTTTGAGTAGTCAAAATTTCATCAAATACTCTATATTATGTTTATATTTTGCAATCTTAATTGGTTTGAAAAGATAGTTAAAATAAGAAAATACATAGCTTTTGAAAGGAATAAGATTTATTTTAAGTATTTAAACTCCTGGTGCTGATAATGATGATGATAACAATGGTGATGGTGATGGTAGCAGAAATCAAAATGTATATTGGTTAAGGACACAGATTTTAGAGCCAGACTGCTGGTATAGAAATATAGGCTCTGCTATTTACTAGCTGTGTGATAAGAAAAAATTACTTAACCTATTTTGCCTTGGTTTCCTCAAATGTGAAAAGTAAGGATAAGGGTACTTTCTAATTCTGAGGATATGGGGAAGATTAAATTAGTTAATCGATGTACATTCATAGCAAAGCACTTTCACATACTAAGGGCCCTTAGTTGCGTTAGCCAAGTTTTAGCTAATAGCAGTGGCAAGAAGAAAAATGATACTAGTGATAGCAGAAGTAGTGATAATAATTTCAAAGATATTAGCTACTATTTTTTGACTGCTCACACATGGAAGATACTAATCATGTTCTTTATAAAGGTTATTTCTTTTTTAAAAATTGACACTAACTCTACAAATAGAGTATTACTTTATTTTTAACAGGAGTTTGATACCTGTGACAATTACTTTAGCCATAAAATAGAGTACATCAAATAGAAGGATTGAAAAACTTAATACACATGTAAATTATTTGAATTTAATGTGTCATTCCAGAAAAATGTGCATGTGTATAAAATATCTTATTCTGATAATTAAAATATTTACTGTTCTTAAGCAATATCGATTAACAGAATCAAATATGCTGGAATCCTCTCCTAAGTCTCCAGGATATTTTCTGGTCACTGAACATAATCACCTCAAATGCAAAAAATTCAACCTATATTGTTTTTGCTTCAGATAGAAAACAGAGATAATATCCCATTCCTTTAATTTTCAATGCATAGTCAGGACTAGTTCAGTTGGAGCTGCCTAAGAGAACTCACTATGTCTATGATTTATGAATTGTTCTGTACTCACAGAATTTTTACAGGCAGAAAATTCTGTCAACCTCAATGTTTCTTTATGAAAAGCATTTTTTTTAGCAAGCAAACATTATGATGTTTGTAACTTAAAAGGAGTACTCACTCAAATAAAGTTACACCGAAATCAAGACAATTCCATGAATCACCAAAGAAATAAAAAGGTCCTGCCCAGATGCCTCTTGCAATGAGTTTTACAAGTATTTCAAATGTATAAATTCCAAGCAAAGTATTCCTGCAGAAAAAATTTCACATAATTTTCACATTACTTTTCATATTAAAAATTAAACCAATATATCATAATTCTGAAATATTTGTCTATGTTAATTATTTGGCAATGAATCAACCAATCAACTAGACAACCACAGGCTAGAGCTTTAGTTAGGGCTTCCTGAGTCTTATAACAATAACTATGAAATTTGGCTATCAGTTTTTTTTCAACAAATTTTAGCTCAGGGTTATATTTATATATATTTAAGTAAAGAATAAATACAAAATATCAAATTTATCCCACATTGGGAGTCCAGCAATAAGCAACTGAAATGTAGGCAAGTATGAAAGAACTTATTATATACATATACAAGAATTTTTACAGTGAATCAGTATAACACATATTTACCTTTCAAAGTTAACTAAGTTTAAGAATAGAAACCTTGAGGAGTGCATTAAGGAGGTCTTCTTCCCTAGAAAACGTAATGGGCCTTTCCATTTTTGTATTCTAATGCAAGGTAAGCTACTCCCACCCCTCAGGAAAGAGAAGTAGAACAGAAAGGAATAAAAAGATATCTTTTTATCTAAAGAATAGACAGGATAAAAGTTATCTGTGTTTGAAATAAATCTGGTGTGGGACTGCAATAGTAAAGAAAATCTGAAGCACTGAAATATATCAATCATTAGAATAAAAATAAAGCCTCACTTATATGATGCCACAGGCATAAACACATATACAGCTAAAGGCTCAAGCATCTATATCATGTTAACCTAACATGCTGGGAAATTTAAAGTCCAATTAAGAGTAATGATGGGAAGAAAAACATTAAAATTGATTAACAACATGTGGATATATTTTATTCAGAAAATTCATCAATTGTGGAATAAGTATTATGTACAATGTATACTACTGTAAATTATAAATATTAATTTGTACCATCTTATAATATGTAGTATATAATGTACTATAACACAGTGTGTTAAATATAAAATATAATCATATATGAGATTATACGTAATAAAATTATATAACTTACTGCAATGCTGGCCCCCATCTTGGCAAATCAGTCATAGACATAAATATGCAGTCAGTCAGGACGCTAACCAAAATGAATAGTCGGAAAAAGGTAAGTTACAGTCAAGGAACAATAGTAATAAAAATAATATTTAAAATACATTTCTATAATCTGTTTATATGCACACACATGAGATCACATAGTTTCTTAAGTTTCAAAAAATGTACTATTTATATTGAAAAGCAATGAGGAGTAAGATTTGCTACCACTACTTGTGTGCACTAGAAAATACATTTTAAATGTATTTTCAAATATGGAACACACTGGAATTATAACCAAGATTTCAATTTGACATAAAATGATATGTTAATTAAAAACAGAAAAAGACTGCAGCAATATTTGAATAGAATAGTTGCATTTGATGTTAGTGCAGTTTAAAACCAACAGAAAAGGATATGGATGTACCAAAATCTTAATGGTTGCTCTTCTAATTGAATTGAAAGGAGACAATGTACACCAGGTAGCATTGAATCTGAATATTGTTCTCTTTTTATTTAATACTATGAAAGTCTATAAGAAAAAAAAATGAAAATCAAGTGAAATTAGAACTGAAAATTATGATCTTATCAATTATGCAACATTTTCCAATGACCATTTTTCAGTCATGAAGTCTAACATTTATACTTAAATTTTGATATCTGTTTACAGATTAAATCAAATGGAAAGGTTTTTAAGCTAGTTTTATTCATATTTAGGCTTATCTATCATACCTTTTTGCCAGTGTTCTACCTAAGAAAACCATTAGCCAATCCTTAAGTTTTCCTGCAGAACTGACGTAATAGAAAGAAATTTATAGCTTGATGGCTCAAGAGTATCCATTTTAGCATACTAAAATTCAATAAATGTAAAATAAGTTAATTTTATTTTGAAGCAAATAAGATATGAGACTGCAGTAGTAAAAGTGACCCACCCAATGCATGCAAACATTATCTTAATCATTAGTAATTTTCTATGGTATATAACCATGCTGTATGTTATCATTGACATAAATATATTTAACACAAAAATTTATGTCATGTAAGACTAATCTGTTGGTATGTTTAAGTATTAACCCCCCCAAAAAAGAAAAATCATAAACGTCTTAAAAAGGACATATATATATACATATATGTATATGTATATGTGAAGATATATGTGTGTAAAATACAGATATACATAATATGTGTGTGTATGTGTATATATAAACACACAGAATTATATACACACACATATATGCACTTTTGTTATACATACACATCCATTTGGAAAATTCATTCATGTGTTGTATGCATAGCTATATTATACATTGCTGTTGTTGTTGTTTAGTCCCTAAGTCCCATCCGACTCTTTTGCAACCCCATGGACTGTAGCCCTGTGAGGCTCCTTTGTCCACGGAATTTCCCAGGCAAGAATACCGGGAGTTGGTTGCCATTTCCTTCTCCAATTCCTGACCCAATGACTGAATCCATGCACCATCAGGGAAGTCCTCATATTACACATCGCAAACATTATATACACTACAATGTAATAACATTAAATAATGTATAGCATAAAAGGCATATAAGGATATTGGAATCTTTTTAATATATACATTTATACTGTAAAATGTCAGCATGCTTCCACCATGCAAAGTATTTGGAAGAGTTGTGATTAACAGAATGATCTCTTTGCCTTCCATCCAGCATGCACGCTGAGTCCCTTCAGTCGTTCTGACTCTGCGACCCTATGGACTGTAAGCCGCCAGGCTCCTCTGTCTTGGGATTCTCCAGGCAAGAAGACTGGAGTGGAAGTTTGCCATGCCTTCCTCCTGGGGATGTCCCTTATCCAGGGATCGAACCTGCATCTCTTACATCTCCTGCATTGACAGGTGGGGTCGTTACCACTTGTGCCACCTGGGACTAATTCATTTTCTTTTCACTCATTCGGTAAAATCATTGAATGTACTACAATATCAAAGAATATCAAATTACATTTGTCCACAATGGGGTTAATTCTCACCTCCCCCAAGTTTGACCTTTTTTTATAATTACTTCATTTTTGTTTGAAGCTTTCATGCTCAGAACCTTGGCATTATTAATCAGTCTTCAAATCCTGCTGTTTCTTCTCAAGTGTGTTACCTCTGTCTCCAAGGCACTCTTAGAATCCAGACTTCTTGACTTCAGGCCCGGATTACTCTCTCTCCTATTTCATCTTCCTGACTCTATCACTACCATGAAATAGTAATGTAGAAGTCTCTAGATTAATCTTATTTAAACATTGCATTGATCACATCAGTACTTTGGCCATCACACTAAAGCCATGTTGTCATCTCCATTATCTCATCTTATTTCCCACAATTTACAACAACTACAGGGTTCCAGTTCTATCATCAGCCCATCTCTTCCTTATTTCAGAATTAATCTATGCTCTTGCCTGTCCACAGAAGATTTTTGCCTTGTAAAAACTGAAATGTTTCTGAAGCTGTAATTCAAGGTTCTTCCAGCTTTGTCAGTCCACACAGATCTCTGTCTTTTCTAAGCATAATCGTTTTTATTTTTATCATTTTGTGCTTCTTGCTGAATTGTCAAATATTTAGTAATTTTCTCAAATCATTCTGGGAATAAGATAGGATGTGACTGTATGAATGAATAAGATTTATGAATGAAATATAGTTTGGTTTTATTTCCCTAACTACTGAGTAAGCACATCAAGCTGAACAGTTGAAACTGCTGCACATGTAATTGAAATTTTATATTATAGTTATTTTAAAATCAATACCATTAAGTAGTCAACCATCATGCTCCCATAAAACGAAACCTGAAGGTATGCCAGTATAGCTTAGCACATACAAAGTACAGTTATCCCAAACAGACCAACCTACCAGGCAAATAATCAGTTTTGACAAAAATCTCAAATATGTGTTAAATTTCTTGTCCAGTTTTCTGTAACCTCTTCACTTATTCTTCTGTCTTTTTTCATTCTTTTTCAATTACAGTTTTTTGCATGTCTGGACAATGGATAAAAATATAGCCACAGTAAGCTTAATTAATCCTTACCCTTTTATTAGTGTAGTATGGGTCCACATCTTCCAATGGCTCTGACACCATCGCTTGAGGAAGATTTCCATAAACAAATGGAAGCTCTTTTCCAACTTCCAAGCCGCAGTTCGGCTTTAAATCTTTGTCTTCCTCACTTGGCTTTTTAGTACTATGCTGTTCCATAACTTCAAGAGATTCTCTGGTGAAAGGGATCAGGCTCTTAGGTTCTGGGGAAGCCATTTTCAATTTAGCCCCTGCAAGAAAAGTATTTTCTTCATTTCTGCATAAGATTTGGATACAATAAAGAAATAAATTAAAGTACACAAGGCTAGGATATGAATGAAAAAGAATGGCAAACAATGCACTCAGTGAAAACTTCTGCATTTAAGAGAAATCTGAGTTATTAAACTTGGTTTTGTTTCCCTTAATGTTAGACTTAACTTGTAATTTCATCAGTAACTCATTCTATTTCATTTACTCATCCATTGAATCCTCTTTCTTCTACTGAAATCTGCCTTTCAGTTTCTCCCCTGTAATGAAAAAGCTCTAAAGTGGCTGCAGATTGTTGGAAGACCAAACCCAATCATTTCACTCTCAACTGTATTTAGTCACTGACTAGACTTTGCTTCTCTAAACTCAATTTTCATTGGCTCTATGACCCACTCTTCTGTATCTCTTCCTACAGCTCTGATCACTTCCTTTGACTTAGTTTTTCCCCCAAAATTTCAACTTTGATATCCTTTAAAGTTTTGCTTTTCCGTCTTTTACCTCATCTTTTTAGTAAATACATAGGCAAACACAGAGTTTAAACTACTATAAATAGGTATTCACCAGGTACATGTCCCAAAACACTCCCTTCTCTCAGTCATCTATGTGTCAATCCACCAATGACAGCAATTTAGCAAGTAAAAACAAAATTTATTGTTTTTTCCCAAGACTAAAACCACTCTTTAACCTAACAGTCATTGTAAAATTACATATAAACTCATTACTTTGAAAATTACTCATAAAATGTTTTTCTTTGTCACTAGTTCCTTAGAAAAAAATAATCTTCTTATAATAATTTTCCATCAGTTATTTAAATATTATCCATTGTTCATACACCTACATCAAGGCAGCCATCTTTGTAATTCTATCTCTGGAATTCTAGTCTTTATCTATTTCAAGTTATTCTATAGGCCACTTGAATTAGTCTTCATTAAATATAATTTCATGTATCAATTCTCCATTAATGAAACTTATTCTTTCCTTTTACATTGAAATATGCTCTTCTGCTGATTTTTTCCAGCCCAATTTCTGTCAAAACCAACTCTTCAAGTGACTCTACTGAGTCAGTAACAACTAACTGTCTATTCTTTATACATTCTCTTTAACCCTCATTGCAATTCTACTATTGCAAATAATGATTTTGTACTTGATTTTGCAGCATTTTCTACATGTCTATTTTGTCTCTTGTAGTGCCAGCCTTAGGTAAATTTATCCTATTGATATGATATGTCATTAGACAGAAATCACATACATATGTAACATACACACAGATACACTAATCCAGAATTTTCCTCTGTTGTGTAAATTTGAGTTTTTTAATAGTTGAATCCATTACTTGCTATTAGTGGAAAGTAAGAAAAAAAAATAACTTGGTTAACAATAATGGAGTATAAATCATTGTGAGAATCAAAATAGTACCAGCTTTAAATAAGTGGTTTGTAAGAGATATTTTAACTATACAAATGCTAATCTCCAGACATCCAAGGAGAGGACACACAGTCCATTTCTTAATCCTGAAATATAAAAATGGAAAATAATCACTGGGACAACTCCTTACACCTTTCATGACATCACAGTTTTCTTGGCTTTTCTTTTAATTCCTACTGCATTAGGCATCTAAAGAATGACTTTCTATGCTCCCTTCTAAGAATGTATATAGAACAAAATGCTACCCCTGCTTCAACTTCATTTGATTTTTCAATTTAAGCTCCTACCTATAAATTTTATTTCCCAAAATGTAAATAAAAAGATACTCAGTCTATCCAATGGATTTATTTTCCCTTGGTTCAGTCATTTGTGATCACACAGAGGGACTTTTCATAATAGCAATGTCTGCTTATGCCCAAGACTCTCCAAGGATATTGCAAGGATGGGGTGTTAAGCAATTTTAAAAGAGAGAAATATGGAATAGAAATATTAACATATATCAATTTGGAACCCTCTTTGTTAATTAGTGAAAACTAACAATTGCACATCAAAAAATTTACCTATTTTTCAAATAACTTGCTTCAATCATGCACAAAATACTTATTAAAGGACCATTAATAATTGTTTATACACACCATATGTACATATAAACACAATGCTCAAAACCCTTCAAGCTGGGCTTGAATAGTACATGAACCAAGAACTTCCAGATGTACAAGCTGGATTTAGAAAAGGCTTAAAAGACGTTTGCTTCTTGGAAGAAAAGCTACAATAAACCTAGACAGCGTATTAAAAGGCAGAGACATCACCTTGCCAACAAAGGTCCATACAGTCAAAGCTATGGTTTTTCCAGTAGTCATGTACGGATGTCAGAGTTGGACCATAAAGAAGGCTGAGTGTCAAAGAACTGATGCTTTAAAACTATGGTGCTGAAGAAAACTCGTAAGGGTCCCATGAAGAGCAAGGAGATCAAACCAGTTAATCCTAATGAAAACCAACTCTGAATATTCATTGGAAGGACTGATGTTGACACTGAAGCTTGAATACTTTGGCCACCTGATGTGAAGAGCCAACTCACTGGAAAAGACTGATGCTGGGAAAGATTGAGGGCAGGAGGAGAAGAGGGTGACAGATGGGGGTAAGATGGTTAGATGACATCACTAACTCAAAGGACATGAGTCGGAGCAAACTCCAGGAGATAGTGAAAGACAGGGAAGCCTGCCTTGCAGTCATTCATGGGGTGGTAGAGTCAGGCACACATGAATGAATGAACAATAACATAGTAATACCTCACATATCAAATTTTGTTGAGGGGAGTTAAAATGCTTTGAATAAGTTCAATTTATGAAGACACACTACAAACAACTGAAGTTTTCTCTTACTTACACATAGAATCTTCCTTTAAAAAATTTAATAAGCTTTCAAAATTGTACTCCTTACATGGAGTTCCTTGAATTGTTCCTTAATGGCTCATGGTTATAGGCTAGTATAAGCAAAATCACAAACTTAGGAATTAGACAGACCTACATTGAAATCCTAAATTCTGTTACTAATTCTGTTCTGTTCTTAGAGGTCTCAGTTAAACTACTTACATTCTTTAAACTGTCAGTCATAAAATTGGGATCCTACCCAGGTTAAGTAAGGATAAAATCAAATAATGTGAATGAAATGCCTAGTACAATGATTGGCACATAATAGGTTCAAAATAAATAAAAATTTTAAAGTGTGATATAATTTTATATCTTGGAATGATTGGTCAAATTTAATAGAATAATAGTATAGTTCAATACACATCAGGTTTTGAAATTTGAACCAAACCAACCTGTCTGCACAAATGCAGTAAGTATATTTTTGCAGCAGAGAAAACTGCCAAGGGGATTTACTTAAAAGTAACTGCAGTATCAATAAATGCTCATTTTGTCTACCAAGAAACTTAATATAACCTTTATCTATACTGAAGGAAAATGGAGGAGGCAGTTACTCTCTCTTCTGCTGTATTCCATGACCACAATCAAAAGGCATGCATGTAAACTGGAAGGTCTTCAAATGGGATCAGAATGTCGATAAAATTCAAATCATTCCATCTATAGATGAGTTATTCATTGACTGTGACCCTATAGTCTTAGAACTTTCCAATCCTAGAATCTTTGAATTGAAATTTCACAGAGTATCATATGACCTAAAGGTTTTGGCTAAACATTAGATAAACTAAACCTATGCAGCATTGAATGAACAAAATCGAAAGCATTTTACAAATATCATTTCATATTAAGTAAAAATGTTTCTTTTATATTTTTAGGGATACATTCTAACTGCTAAGAAACATTATTAAGTTTATGTGTATCAAAACTATTGTCCCTAAAAGTAGATACAAAGGGATGTCATAAACTTATTGCAAAGATGCTACCATTAATGAAAATATTTTTGGACACCATCCATAGAAACCTCAAAATTTAATTTGTCAGTCAGTATTCTTATTCTATAGGCTTCCCTGGTGGCTCAGGTGGTAAAGAATCTGACTCCAATGCAGGAGACCCAGGTTTGATCCCTGGGGGGGGCGGGGGGAAGATCCCATCGAGAAGGGAAAGGCTACCCACTCCAATAATTCTTGCCTGGGAAATCCCATGGACAACGGAGCCTGGCAGACTATAGTCCATAGGGTTGAAAAAGAGTCAGACATGACTGAGTGACCAACATACACATACATTAAATGTGTAATAGTCCAAATATAATCTTCTTTTTCTTTCTGTTATCTCTTCACAGCACAACAATCTTTGATTCCTCAGTCTGCCACCTACTAGCTATTAGACTTTAATAACATAGCCTGGGTAAACTTTGGAACCCCTCATGTACCTCACAGAGTCATAAACATGAAACCAGACTATATATGTAAGCCTGTTCCACAGTATTGACTACCACTGTTAATTCTCTCTCCCTACCTAGTCAGTTATACCAAAAGACTTCTTTAGTCATAATTTTGATGTTGAATGAAACTACCATGGTTGTTGACTAGATGAATAAATAGATAGTGGACACTATCTTCTATAGTATGATAAAGAAACGCAAGCACTTAATCAAATGAAACTGGCCTGCATATAACTTTTAGACAGCTGAGTGCAGATTATAAATTATTAATCATTAAATCATAATTCAGTAAAAGCATTTCTGTGGGGAATTTATGAAGTATGATCCAGGCACTATGTTTTCTGGTGAGTGATCTTAATATAGCACAAATGCCTGAAAAATATAGAAAGATTAATAGTTAATCTGTCCATTAGACTGCTTTTCTAAAAAACTGAATTGCTAAAGTAAGATTTTGGCAAGAATTGTATCAAAGTCAACTCAAGTTCCGACCGTAACAAGTACAATTCAAAACATGCCACATTTATTACCTGATGATTTAAAGTGGCACAGCTAGAAATATTTCTATATATGAGGACAAGAGAAATATTTCTACATGTGAGGACTGATTGAAAGGCAGCTGTTAGGGCAGATCAAACATCTGATGAAAATAGCTACTGTATTCCCATGTGTATATAAGCTCTAGCCGCCAAAAACT